GCGCCAGCAGGGGAAGACACAGAGACACTACCTCTTCCCGACTTATTGGGCAGTAACGAAGGGACGACCCAGATAGAGAAAGTACAGCTAGGCGAACAGCTGGAACTCCAAGAGAGGGCTCAAGCTGTCCGCTTGCAAGAAACCAAACAGGCCACATTCTCTCAGGAGCCTGGGTACACACTCCTAGCCGTCCACAAGGTGGAAACTCCAGGGCAAGCACCTCTAAGGCAGCCGCCTTACCGCATTCCGGAAGCAGTCCGAGAAGGGATGCGGAAGGAAATCGACGAGATGCTACGGCAAGGGGTAATAGAACACTCAGAAAGTCCTTGGGCCTCGACGGTAGTCCTAGTACCAAAGAAGGATGGGACAACCTGCTTCTGTGTGGATTACCGGCGACTCAACGACAAGACAGTTACTGACGCCTATCCAATGCCACGGATGGACGAACTGCTTGACCGTATCTCTGCAGGGAAGTATCTGACCACAATTGACCTATGTAAGGGATATTGGCAGATTCCCCTAGCAGAAGATGCCATACCAAAGTCTGCCTTCATCACCCCGTTCGGCCTATACCAATTCCGGGTTATGCCATTCGGGATGAGGAACGCCATGGCCACCTTCCAATGGATGGTGGATCATTTACTGGGAGGTCTCCAGGACTACGCGTGCGCTTACCTAGATGACATCGCAATCCATAGCGATACCTGGGAACGCACCTAGAACACGTAGGGGTAGTATTAGATAGGATCAGGGGGGCCGGGCTGACCCTGAAACCAGACAAATGTCATTTGGGTTTCGCGGAGGTACAATATTTGGGCCACCGAGTAGGATGTGGTAAGCAACGGCCGGAGCCGGCTAAGATCAAGGCCGTTGCCAATTGGCCCACTCCCCACACCAAGACACAAGTCATGGCTTTCTTGGGCACAGCCGGCTATTACAGACGCTTTGTAAAAGACTATAGCACCCTAGCCAAACCCCTGACCGACTTGACCAAAAAGAAGTTACCCCGACAAGTCCTGTGGTCCCCGGAATGCGAGGTGGCTTTCCAAGCACTAAATAATGCTCTCGTTAATGCTCCGGTGTTGGTTACCCCAGATCCTAACAAAAGATTTATTGTCCACACAGATGCTTCAATGTTTGGACTGGGGGCAGTACTTAGCTAGATCGGAGAGGATGGAGGAGAGCACCCGGTGGCATACCTGAGTTGGAAGCTGTTGCCAAGGGAGGTCAGCTATGCCACTATTGAAAAAGAGTGTTTGGCCTTGGTATGGACACTCAAAAAGCTCACACCTTACCTCTATGGCCGGGCCTTCACCGTCATTACCGATCACAATCCCCTGGTTTGGCTCAACCGGGTCTCAGGGGATAACACCCGTTTGCTGCGCTGGAGCCTGGCTTTACAACCCTATGACTTCATTATCCATTATCGCCCAGGCAAGCAAAACGGGAATGCTGATGGACTGTCATGCCAAACTGACTTGGCCTCAGACTAAAAACTTTGGAAAGTCCCGTCAACCCTACTGGACCAGGAAAGGTCTAACCGAGTTGCTGGAGCAGGGAGAAAAAGGGGGGCCATTGTGAAGGATTTTCATGTACTTACCTGTGTGCCTTCAGTTAAACCTTCTCCCTGCTGTTTAAATGCCTGTATCAGTTCGTTTCACTATGTATTGAATGAATGTATTCGTTTACCGAACGGAGACCACCCACCCTGGGTAGCAATCAGCATTAGAACGCAGAGAAAACCGCAACTTAATTGCTACTAGGTGGCCATCTTAAAACTCACGAATGCGGTCAGCGGGGCTTACGCATGAATTGCCTGGAACTATTTTCGAACGCCCGGTCCCCATGGAAGTCCTGGATGAATACGTTCCCCTCCACGAATCAAACTGGCGTTCGGTAGATATAATCTACCGAATGAGGGGAACATTCACATGTAATCAGCTGCACCATACGAACGGTGGTTTTCGTGTTACTGATAATGAACTCTTGCTCGGATACCTCCACATGGCGAGCTGGTCAAACTTCCACACGATGCGACACGGAAACTACCGAACGGTAATTTGTGAGATTTGGATATATGACTACCAGTATCCTCAGCTACCCAGGGATGTTGAAATTATGTTTGTATGTTGTATAAAAAGTAATTTTCTGAAATTGTTAAAAACTGTATTGTTTCTGGCCAGCAGATAATTGAGCTTTGTATATTGCTGAAACTCAATTATCTAGCCTGGCCCAGAGGAGGAGTTTTGTATTGCATAAATTGTGAGTTCTGTGTGCCAGTAAATCAGTCTTGTTCCAGCATAAAGCTTTGGCTCATGTGTGGATTATTCGGCGATTGCAGGGATAGTTCTACTTTTGGAATATTGGGTGATTTTCTTTTATGGGAAGAAGGGAATGCTTGACGGTGATACCATATACTACCGTCACAATATCTTCTTACAATACCATGCTAAATAATAGGTACATACCGTTAGCTGAAGCCGTATTATGTGCCTATCAATGAGGAATCTAAAAATATCAGTATAGCTTCTGGTCTTGTATAGCTTCTGGTCTTGATGCAGAATTACATAGCTGATGTATTAGGTGCATAAACAGAATGAGCCCTTCTTCTTTATATTTTAAACAGCCTGTGGTGGAGACAAAATGGGTTAGTGGAAAGGGCAGTTATGGCCAAGGAAGGTAAAGGAAAAGAGTTGAAGCAATGTCTTGTGGAAGAGAAGTTTCCATTTGAAAGTGTAGGGTATTCGGTTTTGTAAAAAATAGCGATAAGTAATGTGAAGACACAAAAATGCAAAGACAAAAACGGGACTTTTGAGGAAGCGTCATGCAATGACTGTGGCAAAGAGTACCAGTCTGGAGGGTAAGAAACAAAATAAAATCTCACATTGTGCAGATTGCAAATAAATTATAGTCTATACACAACCCTCAAAATAATTTTCACTTGAACAAACCATGATAGCACTGATATATTGGTGGCACTTTCGTTTAAAGCAGAATGGACAAGAAACAAAAAACTTTTAAATAATTCTAAATAGGGGGCGTGGTCGACTACGGAGGTGAAAAGTTGCATATCTGTGGAGCTCCCCTTCCGCCCCACAGATCAAGCGTCATTACACAGAGAAATCCGCTTCAAAACCACACAGCTTACCTGCCACCCGACAGCTGACAACATGGGGCGCAAGCATAGGAAGCAAACCCACATGGAGCGACCCGCGGCACCCGACATCAGGCTTGCATTCCAGATGCCTACACAGTCGCGGCCTGCCAAGATGGCGCTGGAGCCGCAGACCTCTGACGAATCCCAAGAAGAGAGGGACTCCCAAACCTCACCACAACCCGATGATAGCCCTCACAGGCCTGACTTGGAGGATGATGACTCTCCATCCACAAAAGGGGACATGAGAAGACTGCTGACAGACCTAAGACAGGTCTGGAAGGCCGATTTAAAGGAGACCCAAGCTGAAATAGGGGTCCTACAGCAAAGAGTAGGGGAGGTGGAGGCCAGAGAAAGATGCAGAGACAACCAACTCCAAGACACCAGCTGGACGGACTTGCTGAGCAGGTCCAGCGCCTACACGGAACGGAGTCCAGACACCGCCGCAACATACGCCTCAGGGGCATCCCTGAAACAGTGGGCGGAGAAGACCTACTGCCCTTTGTCCGGAGACTTACCTCCTCAATGGGCCTCAGGTGTAACCCAGACACCCCACTGATACTATCCACCTTCCGAGTGAGCAAATCGCCAGCAGCACCTGCAGGTGCCCCCAGAGACACGATAGCTACCACCAGAGACGTAGCGGCGAGAGCTGGGGTCAGTGAAATTTGAGGGATGCGAAGTGGCTATGTACAGTGACCTTCCTTTTGCTGTACTGGCCGCAAGGAGACTGAGAGAGCACTCCGTCCGTTACCGGTGGAACACGGAGGGGTCACTGGTGGTGCAACAGGGCACCGACATATTCACTTTGACCGCAGGGGAAGACCCAGAGACATTCCTCAAAAAGCTAGGCATGGTAGCCAACGGGCACAGCAACTGAACTGAGAAACGCAACATTTAGTTATCATAACATTTTAATTTATATGTTTACAAGTTCATATGGTTCTTAGGAGTTTCTTCATACTCTTAACTCACTACTCCACACCTATTAACCTAATCACCTAACTGACTTTACATTCACAGGGCAGGTCAGTAGCGGAAGCTTAAGTTACATAACCTCATTAAGCAGTGTTCTCCGTATAAATGTAGTAACGGGCAACGAAATACCTTGCAATGCTACTGTACAGATCTCAGTGCAACTGTGATTATTGCTATGTTTGTAAACCCAACGAAATGTACTTGTTCTTGTTATAACCTATACAATAACCCATTCAATGGAAAATGTATACTGGGTGTACAAAACCCAATAAAATACAAATTAAAAAAATAAATAATTCTAAATAGTACATGACCCAATCTATCAGACAGTCTTTATTTTCTACTTGTCCTTCATATCAGTATGGAGGGAGACTGTTTTAATTGTATGCCCATATATTGTCTTCACATTGCTATATGGAACCTTGATATTAATTGCATATTTTGAAAAATCCATTATTAGGAATATTTAATATAACATAATAGAACATTCAAAGCAGCATGTGTAGCGGCTATAGTGTCAGGGGTGCTAACAGTTTGACTTACTACAGGTTGCCAAGTACTTTAATAACAAAGAGCCAGAGGAACCTTCATCTCAATGAAGTGGTCTTGATGCAGTGGCCCTGTTCTTTTAACACTGCAATATAAAACAGTGCAGTATTTGAGATAGTGCAATGTTTACACTGCAGGCTGTCCTGACAGCCACTAGAGACACTTCCGGGGCACTGACCAAATAAAATTCAGTAATTTGACGCAAAAGTCCATAGGAAAGCATTGAATACAATGCTTTCCTATGGGAAAGCTTGGATGCATGCCCCACGTGTATCAGGTCCTCATTGCTCCTCTAAGAGGAGCATTGGATTGGATTATTGTTGAGGAGCCCATGCCTCCACAATGATGTTGCCGGGGGCGGAGGTGAGCAGCAGTGTGGAAGACCCGGCTCTGCAATAAGGTAAGTAAAAGTTTGATATTATTATGACACTAGGATGGCAGGGGACCTTTATAGAACTACGGACAAGAACAGTAAAACGTAAGGAATACAGGTTTGTATTCTTTATGCTACAGCATTAATTTAATTGAATGCAATATATTATCTGTAATGGCCTAAATACACTTATAGAACTTAAACATGTACTATTACTTTGACAAAGAAGAATACACCAAAAGTGACTTGTGAAACACAAATTGAATTTTACTGTTATGTTTGTCTTCTCGAGAAGTTTAAATATTGCTACAGAGACAATGTTAACTAGTAAATGTATCCATTTGTTCCTGAGTGCTGAAAGGTACAATGAAATGTCGCAATAGTCCAATAACACTGGAATGGCCCAGTAACAATTGAATGGAACATTAAGAAGCATTTTTACACATTTCACAAATTATATTGAGTAAAATGAGCAAAGCCGAAACTGATTATCCACTTTGACAAGTAACAATCCGAGATGTGGCAACTACATTAACCAAATTGTTTTCTACGTGTGCATACATTCCCTATATATTGTGAGATATTCAATATACAGTTTTTAAAGTTAAAGAGCTTCATCTCCAGAGAAAAATCTCTCAATTGTTTCAGTGCTATTCCTAATCACTAACAGTTTGTGATTGTGAAAATAAGTTTCCATAGGAAAATAGGAGATAGTCCTTTAACCTGCCATCCATACAGAATTTCTCCCAATGCATTGCACACGTGGCAACAAGCATACTATATGTCATCAACGTATCTACACTCAATATGCGGATAGATCTCTTGGCTGCACATGAGTGGTTGCCAACTCCTACACTGTCACTCTATATTGGATCCCCATTATCTAGAACAGGCACGTTATATTTGGCTTGCTCCAGACAGTAAATGGATTTTAGAAATTTCTCCAGTGAATCTTTTCACACCACAAAGAGCCAATTAAGGGTATTATACAAAATGTATATAGTACTATGAAAAACGACTGTGACATATAGTTTTGATCTGATGCTTTGTTGTGTAATGATGTCTTTGATAAAAGTAGGGATATAAAGTTTTCTACATGACTGAAAGCCAATAAAATTTATTTTGTTTTGCATTTGAATACGGCCAGCGGTGGAAGCTCACAAATGCCTTCATGTCCCATGCCGAGAGTGGATGATTGACCAAATGTGATGGTTTATTATAGATAAACTGATTTACATAAATTAAATATAATTTGTAAATGCAGCATATTCTGTTTGAAGGCTGTGAAATAAAAAATAAAATAAAAAAAGTGCAAATTCACATACAAATGTCTGCTACTTAGATTGGCCAGTGATAACACTAGTGTTATAAATGATGGGATGGTCTTAATGACATTATTTGTCCCTCTGGTGAATGGATGTCCTCAGGAAGACTGAACTATGAATTAGCCCTTCCAGCGATGATAATTAGATGTAGTCATTTGTTTTTACTGTAACACACAGAGCCACACTTTCTAAGAACAAAAGTCATGGCTTCCTCAAAATTCTTTTGAGAGGATGTATGGCCAAGATTGGCATGTTGTATTCTGTCTTAGGATCTAAGATGATGTAGGTAGGACACCAGTGGCCTTTGTGTTGCTCCTCAGACAAATATCTGTATTCTTTCCTTGATGAGCTGTCTGCAAATGGGGCAGGTAGTCAGGGATGTGCTGCAATCTGTGCACGACCCATGTCCACACTGAAACACCAGCTTGATGTGGCTGTCAATACATATTGGACAAGTCATCCGTTCTTCCATTTGGCGGTAGCGGTTTTGAAGATCTTCCATGATCTTGCGCTGATCAGATGCTTCTAAACTAGGAACACCATCAACTTCTGTGCTATCTAAAAATACAAATACAGTGCAATCCTATTATTGCTTTGATGCTCACAACCATATGAAATACTTACTACAATAACTAACTGGACATGAACCTCTGGGTTCTTGGAACCGTTTGATTAGACTTTCTAACAAAAAAATGGCCTTTTGGTGCATTCCTCCTTTTCCTCTACCCCACTGATCTACACTTGCTATACCCCATACTCCCCTGCCCCAATGATTCTGCTTTTTATTTATTTTAACTTACATACTATCCCCTACTTTGAAACTTTTTCTTCTACCTCTTCACACCATCCTTTACTTCTGTTGGTGTTCTATAACACATTTTCTTAGAATTGCTTCCTAATCCGGAGATATCTTAGAAACTGCCCTGGCGTGATTGAGGTCACTACTTTTTAACCTTCACATATCCTTTCTTGGCATAATGATGTATTTACCTTAGGCCTTATTTATATGTTTTATAGTTTACATTATTTTTTCACGAAAATATATATTTCATTGTAATTCCTTTGTTTTTAATAAAAATAAATATTTTTGATAAAAATGTAATTTTTTTCCTAACTGCGTCATCATATCAGCTTGTAGCTGGCTGAAAATTATGAGAAGAGCAGTCTGAGTTTGCAGCATAAAATTAAAACATATTTTGTCCCTAAAACTGCAAAGACGTTCATAGTATTGTCTGCTTACCTTGCCTAAGTTTTTTGGTTATTGATACTTGACACTTAATGCATTTCTTCATTCGTTTGGAGCATTCTAAAGAGAAAATGAAGGGTAAAGGAAGAACAATATTAACAAGAGTCAATTATATAAGTAAATGTAATTCATAATTACAAATATTTGCTGTTGATAGGAATAGTTTTTATATTCCAACAGAGCACTTTATATAGTAAGTCTATATGTCCCCATAGTACATTATGAACAGTCAGTCTATATATTCCAAGAGAGCAATAAATAAATCAGTCTCGATATTCCCACAGAGAATTATATACACCAGTCTTTACAATCCAACAGAACACGGGGTGTATTCATTATTGATATTCCCATGGATTACAGTATATAGTCAGCATTAATGTATAAAAAAAATAAAAATAAAATAATACATTTATCTTGCAATGTTTTATTTGTTAATTTTTAAAACATGGATATAGAATTCTTAATGTAGCTTTAAGGAACAGGACGCTGCGGGACCTCAATTCATTACTCCCTCCGATATATGCAACTGAAACACTACTACGACTCGCTACCGCACAAGGAACATCTACACAGAGAACTCACATGGTTTGAGGGACTATGCGACCGAGGTACCACAATAGGCAACGCAATATCCACACTCTATCAATACCTAGTGGTCCACCATCAAAAGGCAAACAAAACCTTCCGGAGACAATGGGAAGACCAGATGGGCAAGACATTCTCTTCAGCACTGTGGGAAAAGGCACTGCTGTGGCAACACAAGAGCTCCATGAGCTCCTATTACCAGGAGGTGAATTATAAACTAATATCGCTATGGTATAAAACGCCCGACATGCTGGAGATGCCAAATGGACAGGGGAACACCGCTACACATCTGGTGGGATTGCTGTGACTTAGCCCCATACTGGGAGATGGTAAAAGACAACGTGACCATGATCCTAGGGGATATACCTGAATGGTCGGCCGACCTCGCCCTACTACATATCTCTCCACAACCAATTTCACGCTATAAGAAATCAATTTTGTGTCACCTACTGAACACGGCCAAGGCCAATATACCGGCCAAGTGGAAAAAAACTGAAGTCCCTAGCAAAAACGAGTGGATCCACAAACTAGAGGACATACAGGGCGCGGAAGCGCTACACACCCTCCCGACAGAGAGAGACTAGAAAAGCGAAGGCATGGCAGCTGTGTTTCATATACATGGCTCGTTACATGAGGGGGAGGGGGTCTTCCAGCTCCAGGGGTGGCGCGCTGGCGGGGCCGTGCTCCACCTGGCAGCGGCCATAAGCTAACCTCACCTTACCTGCTTCTCTATTCTGCCTCTACCTAACCTATCTTCTCCCATTTACCTGAACAGAGACTCGGGAAGGACGAAGGTGGATGCCACGGGGCCGGAGCAAGGGCTCCGGCCCATGCTCTAGGTGGATGCTTACGTCCTGGCCAACATGACCGTGGGACTTATAGCAGTCCCTGCGGCATGGATGCCAATCCCCGGAAGACAACTACAACACCTGCTCACACAAGACACAGGAGTGAAGGAGACTAATGGTTTACTGCATTGGCCTCCAATCCCAAGGCATCAGTAATCAAGATAACCACACCAACACATTGCAACCACGGGGGGCATATCCAATTGGCTAACTAAAACTAAGATGGGCACGCTCGAATGCCCACCAGAAAGAACAACTCAGAGGGATATAACGAAAGGTACCCACATGACACAAGTGCTGAGGGCATAACATGGGAACTAGCGTAACAGTAAGCAAATACCGATAAATACATTTAAGAAATACCCCCACAAGACAGAGGGTAATGGTACAAGACACATGACTATTGTTGGTCAACCCTCTTATGCACCTATGTATATATGAATGCATACGTTATGCAATATTTGAAAATGTAATGACACATTAACAGAGACCTGTGAGTCTCCACCTGCACTCTTCTCTTTACCTGTACTCAAAGTAAGAAGTTCAATAAAACAGATTTACACAAAAAGAAAAAAAAATCTTAATGTTGCTTTTCTAAGGAAGCTGAAATGATATTAAAAGTGAACACAGATTCTAGATTTTTGAATTATTTATAATAATGACTCGCCACATGCACTATGGAAAGTGCACCAAAAATTCTTTTTTTCCATTTTGCACTTTACATTTTTAATTATTTGGATATTTGCAAATTAAAAACACAAAATTTCAGTCTCAAATTGAATGTAGAGAGGCTTTGAATAAATAGGTCAAAGTCTGAACTAGGCAAAGGTTTTTGGTGAATAGACTAGAGTTTCACAAGCATAATATGCAGGGACTCTGAATGAAAGAACAGACAGGGTTATTCACCAAACACTGAATTGACTTTATTGACTTTCTAACTTCTTAAAATGGTTTCCAGAGCTCCCACTACAACCCAGGCTTTCAGGCCTACAAGAGGACATACCTTCACATACTATGCTGTGTTGGCAAGGAAAGAAGCTAATGAGGACTGCCAATTCTGAGCATACTAGGCACTCTGCTGGACTGGCAGGACTGGATAGGCTGAGGTTGGTCATTGTGTTGGGAGTAGTGTGTACCCGGCGTAGACTACTGGTGATGGTGGTGGAGTCAGATTCCACCTGTTGCTCTCTGCAAGAAAAAAAATAAATCGATTGAGCTATTGTGAAAATATTGAGGATCTAAAGTAATATAGAAGCCAGAATAACCAAATATAAAGCTATTAGAATTCAGAATTACAGCTTTAGATTAAGTGCCAGCTGTATAATAACGGAAGGTCTGAAGTCTTCTTCAAATAAAGAATAACTGGCAACCATTGGCCAGTTTGGTTACTATAGGTGTTGTGGATTACAGCTACTATAAAAATAGGGTTCAAATCCTAAACAAATAAATAAAGGAGTTCCTGAAGCTTGTCACCTCTTAAGTAATTCCCATTGTCCCGCTCTTAACCAGCCAACCCCAAAACGTACATATATTAAAGAATTAAATTTGTATTTTAAGGTGTGTAATCAACTTATAATACCCTCTTGAAAACGCTCCTTCGCCACTCCTCATAATTGCCGGCACGTTGTTAAAGGTATTCTATAGTGTAAGGAATACAAAGTTGTATTCCTTGCACTATAGCTCCCTTTATTCCCTCTCTGGCTCAGAAAGGGTTTAAAAAAATTTCTGTACTTAACCGATTCCAGTGCTGGGTTGGGTCAGTGCTCTGCCTCCTCCAACATCAGCCAATTCTCCAATTTGTTTACTACTGCGGTTGTTTCTTCTCTAACCTTACTTCTGTCACTTCTCTATGACTTTTGAATTGTATCTATTCTCCATGCCTCATCATTTCTGTCCTTTGTGCCCTATTCCTAATGAAATAATTGTAATTTTTAGTTCATGTACCTGTATTTCTGGGAGAAGCTTTTAATCAGATGCGCTATCCTTGCATCTTTGATCAGGTCCAGTGGGGACTTTCCTCGGTGATTAGCGTAGTTAATATCGGCTCCTGATTGTGCCAGAAAGCAAGCCATTACAGTACTAATATTCATTTCTATGTTTCCAAGCAGCCCGGATGCCTGCAACTTCAGTAAACATAGAAAACAAAGTATGAGTTTTGCTACAGATCAACAGCAGAAACTTCAGTGGAGGTATAACATTATGTTAAAAGGACACTATAGTCACCAAAACAACTTTAGCCTAATGAAGCAGTTTTGCTGTATAGATCATGCCTCTGAAGTCTCACTGCCATTTAGGAGTTAAATCACTGTGGTTTCAGTTTATGCAGCCCTAGCCACACCTCCCCTGGCTGTGACTGACACAGCCTGCATGAAAACAAAATGGTTTTATTTTCAATCAGATGCAAATATCTCCTGCTCGGTAATTTGAACTTTTATCACATGCAATAGGCTCCTGCAATGTTGAGCAAGCTATTCACAGAGCAGGAGAAAATACATTTTAAATTAAACAGAATTTGCAGTAAAGGAAGTGTAAACTTTAGATGACATTTACAGGAAGTGTTCAGGAAGGCTGCGTAATTACAATGGGGAAGTTTGGGATTCAAACATGCAATGTTCATAAACATTATATTTACATAATTTACAGATACAAATCTGAAACATCTGAGAGAGATGTTATATGCTCTCTGCTTCGGTTGTGGTGTCTCACTTATCTAAATAAATAAAATTGAAGATACTTAGAGTGCCTGGATACTCTTTCTACCACTGATATCTACTCCCTGGGGCTGGTGCTAGCCCTTGGTCAAGTTTAGCACCCGGATCTTCACATGATTGGAGTGCAGTATGTTTTTTTTTCTTATTTTTCATAAATGATATAAAGGCACATAAAATTAATGAATTTGGTGCAGACCTCAAAACACATTAAGCTATGCAAACAGTCAATATGGACTTACAATAAGCTAAAAAAAATTATGCCAGTCATGCACATGTCTAGTTACGATATTTGCTGAATAATTCAAACATTTACTGCATGTAGCTGGCATGGAAGAAGATGACACAGATTGCATGTAACATATGTGTTCACATCATTTTAATTTACTGTATCAGCAAAAGTTTACCTAGAACAAAATTCTATTTTGACAGAATGTAGCTACTTAATCTGGTAATTTAAAAATATATGGCTCAGTACACCATCCTCAATATGTACGGTTATCACACACTCAAAATAAAATGTCGATAGTATTAACTAACGATCATTATACAGCCTGCTCACAATTTCAAGGGACAGAAGTAAAAATGATTTAATCCATGAGTTGCACGATGGGTTGCTCCCAGTCCGTGAATTGAGTTGCTGGATTTCTAATAGAAAAACAGTTTAGGTGAACCTCTCCAGATCGCCAAATGAACTGGCCATTCGAGGAACATCTATTATTATATCCATTGCAGTAGTCTCTTAAACTTTAGATTAGGCTACACACTATGTAGGCATTGGGTAACTATACCTATCAGTTTCACAACAGCTGGTTTACTGCTGTTGACTACTCCTCTTTTATAGATCGTTACCTTGCTGAGTGGAGATGAGCCATCTTCATCCTGGTTGGTTTCCAGTAGCTCAAGATGCTGACGCATAAAGACAATGTGCATTGGGGTGTCGCCATCCTCATCTTCGGCATTCACATCGGCTCCTTCTGACAGCAGCAGATGCACTAAGTTGACATGGCCCTGGGTCACTGCCAAGTGAAGAGGAGACTGGTTCCTGTTATTCCTGAGATTGACATCACAGCGACCCTAGGACATGCAAACACAATAACCAATTTGTTGGAAAATGAAGATCTAAAGTGCAAAGACTTACAAGTAAAATTTTCTAACCATAAATAGAAAATAATCTATAAAGCTTAATTTCTCGGACATCAATAAATGGAGAGAAGTTACTTGAACAGAACTACTGTCAAATCAAACAGTGTTTGGTTATACCCCATCGAGGATGCAGGTATCCCAATATCAGGCTTAAAATCTTAAATCCTGTGCTACTAGCCAGGTCCTAGAAGAGATTTGACATTTTGAACAATGAAAATAAGCCCCCAAATAATTTTGGTGGCAGTGTGACTGCTGGGGTAGCATGTGAATGTTATGCGTGAATGCTGTGTTCAGGGTGTGGAAGCGGCATCCAGGGTTTTAATGCTGTGAGCAGGGCCTGAATGTTGAGAGCAGGGTGCAAATGGAAACTAAAAGCAGTGAGCCCCGAGGGGAACAATGTTTTGGAATATTCACCAGAACCTAAGGTCTAAGAGGTTTTTAATCTGTTTTCAAAACCCACACATCTAGCACTCTACAAGACAGATAAATAAAAATAACCATAATAATTGGTGCATAAACAGATATATCTTAAGTTCCGATTTGTAGAAAATTCCCTAACTGCCTGTCAGCGGTCATGTAGATCCCTCTTTCTACAAAAGTGGAAAACATAAGGTCACTGAATTATTATTATTAAAAAATGTTTTAACCCCATAAGGACCAAACTTCTGGAATAAAAGGGAATCATGACATGTCACACATGTCATGTGTCCTTAAGGGGTTAACAATAACGACACTTGACTTTGACAATTCTAGATGTGATAAACATTGTACTTCTGACATGAGAGGTTATTTGCAAAAAATAAAAAATAAAACAAATTCCAAGCATGCTCAGCTTCTGGATAATCCTAATATACGTTTGAAAAAATAACCCTACAGTTTATGTACTTGAGACGGCCAAACCCTAGTTGTAATAAACTATGTTTCCAATAAGACACAACCAACCATTCCGGTTGACCATTGTTGTACTCAATATTGCATCTAGCTGATTTTGGAACAATCCCTGCACTTTAATATATTATTTATTACCTCTTTAATTAAAACTCCTGCCACTTCCTGGTGGTTGTTGAGAGTTGCAAGATGGAGGGCAGTAAAGCCATCTTCCTTCTTGGAATCCACAAGTTGTCGGGCTCTCTCTAGAATCTTACGTACAGCCCTGGGAAGGAGAATGTCACACAATCATGAAATGTTAGTTCGGTGTGGGCTATGTCTCTGCAATGAAGAAGATATAAATACTGAAATGGCTTGTTTCTCACTGTAACAACTCCAAACAAAATAGAACATGGAACACAAACATGCGTGGGTCTGACAGCAAAATAAGAGTGATCATGACGTGAACACTTAGCTAGACAAAAGATGCTCAATTAAGAATGACTAACTTGCATATTTATCTTCTGTAAGTGCAGTTAATCCTTTCTATCGTCTGTATACTTGACTTTGTATTTCACTCATTAAAACTTATAAATAAAGAATTAAGAAAATAAATTTAAAAAAAGAATGACTAACTTGAGCTACTAGGCTTTCCCCTCTCTCATCACAGCAATCACACACAAAGCAGAAAGCGATCTCCAGATTTACCTTTCAGTAATATTTCTGCTCATCAGTAACCGAGAGTTAGGGATTTGTGTTGCCCTGATAAGCTTAGTTTATATAGAAATATTAATTTGAAATATTTTTTACAAATAATAAAATTCAAATAAAACATATAACCTGGTAATGATATGATTTGGGAGATGTGCTTAAACAGCGACACTAATCACAATGTGTGTAGTTTCAAACCCCTTAAAGGACCACTCTAGGCACCCAGACCACTTCAGCTTAATGAAGTGGTCTGGGTGCCAGGTCCAGCTAGGGTTAACCCATTGTTTTATAAACATAGCAGTTTCAGAGAAACTGCTGTGTTTACAAATGGGTTAATCCTTCCTCCAATTCCTCTAGTGGCTGTCTCATTGACAGCCGCTAGAGGTGCTTGCGTGATTCTCACTGTGAAAATCACAGTGAGAAGACGCAAGCGTCCATAGGAAAGCATTGTAAATGCTTTCCTATTCGACCGGCTGAATGCGCGCACAGCTCTTGCCGCGCGTGCGCATTCAGCCGAATGGGAGGAACGGAGGAGGATCGGAGGAGGAGAGCTCCCCACCCGGCGCTGGAGAAGGGTAAGTTTTTACCCCTTTCCTCTCCCCAGAGCCGGGAGGGAGGGGGACCCTGAGGGTGGGGGCACCCTCAGGGCACTATAGTGCCAGGAAAACGAGTATATTTTCCTGGCACTATAGTGGTCCTTTAAGGACCAAACTTCTGGAATAAAAAGGAATCATGACATGTCAAGGGGTTAACAAATCTATTCATATGCCAATGTACAGCGATATGAAACTTGCGGACGCTATATAAATAATAAAATAAATAATACAAATAATACATCCTTTAGCAATACAAGGCAGCACAGGTAAATTTAACAATTTTCTTTTTTTCTTTTTACACATTATTTGCATTTTTCCATTTGTGTTCTGCAATATAAAACTGAGTTACACTAAAGCACAGCTACACTTTTAGCAGACAAAATCTCAAAAAAAATTATGAGGTTTATTTACTAGACTGGGAATTATAAAAATATAAGTATCTTTGTCAATTCTTTACAATTACTGCTTTAATGAATATACAGCTATGGGTCTCTGTGAGATAAAGAAATGTACTGTGAGTAAAGACAGCAGCTGCGGTCTTTAAGACATGCAGTGGAAAATGTGATGGTGAACTGGATTTCACAATGAAGCTATTTATTTGTCTGTGCGATGGGAGACAGAACCAAGTCCTCCTACATGTGTGAGCTGAGTGCAGCTTATCTCTACCATGGTGAGTCAATGCAGGCATTTCAATTGGGAAATGTACTTAGATCAAAGGAAAAGGACTCTGTGACATTTATCAGGATGAATGATTTTAAAAGTTATAGGAAAACAGAAAAAAAACAAAGTGTTGAAATTGGCAATATTTAAAGCAGGTCTGTCACATGTGTGAAGAGTGTCTTTAAATCCTGGAAAGAAAAGTGGCTAGTATATATTTTTTTGCTTCAATATAAAGTACATTTTTTAGGCCTTAGAGGAGCAATGGATATAATTGACTTGATAACAATCTGATCTTCAAAGGTCCCATTTTAAAGTGTAACTTTCCACCTATGTAATGAAGTAATAAAGGCAATGCATGGCATTCTCAATTTAAGTCTTTACTATGTGACCTTATCTAGTCCATTCAATGACAACACCATATTGAATTCCTGTGATCCTCTCCTATCTCGCTTGGCACCATCAGAGCTAATAGCCACAGATGTGCCTCTTGACAAAATTCTTGTCTGGTTTGATGACCAATACAGTGAATAATGTGTTCATCTTCCCTACCATTGTTTTGATTTGTGTCTTTTAATGGAGGCTCTGCTTTGCCTACTATCTTTGCCCTGTATTATGTCCTGTTCAGGTAATGACTTGAATTCCAAAATTCCAACAGAGTCATTCACTAAACTCCCATATTCTGTGAATTAAATCAAAATAGAAAAAAAAAATGAAGTAGCCTATCCATTTGCATTTAAATTGAAAATGTGAAGTTTAGTGATATGTCAGGTCTTATCTTGCAGACCATAGATGCCTCTAATTCTTGCAGTATAACTTCTAGTCAAGAGTTGTGTCAAGTTCAGTTCCTTAGCCCACGTCTCACCCCTTTCTCACCTCTGCTCTCATTCCTGTGTGCCAGTATAACATTCTCTTTAAAATATAAGACCAAGTAGGTACTACTTTGTTTTATGTATTTTTCCTACACCTGACAAATCTTCACAAAGGGTGGAGCTAAAGGCAAGCTTCACTTTCTTGACAAAGGAAGTGGTGCTCACCTTATGACTCAAACCTCCACTTCATGTCAAGATTTGTCAGGCGTAGGAAAAATACATACAAAAAAAGTAGTCCCTACTTTGTCTTTTGCTTTGAAGACAAATAGATTGGAATTGAAGAAAATATTCTGAAAGAGGAAGAGAAGAGGAAATATAAGAGATGGGTAAGTTTGAGACACTTTAATGTCCACATTTTATAATCCATCACTACCTAGCCATGTTTTATATTTTACAACCTGCAAGACTGTTTTTAGCTTTTACTGGTCACAAGACATTACACGTTTAATGTATCATACAACTTGCAGTAAGAGGTCTTTTTATGTTATGGCCTTTACAGATTTACGCTGTCAGACAAATGCAGGCTCATACTTCTTTATTGGTTGTTCCGTTTTCTCTAAAGAGCCATTATACAGAAATCATAGACTATTCCAGTTTTATATATCTGCACGAATAATAAAAGCATGTTGCTGTGATTTGGTGAAGGACACAATGTATCACTCATACGAGATAGCTTGTTAAGGTGGGAATATTTTAGTTTAGTGAAAATATATGCACGTGTCGGCTCGGTGCAGTGCAGAAGTGCAGGGTTAATTGACATGTAGCACACGTGCACAGAGCACAAGCTAATGAAATACAACTTTTAGTGAAAAGGTATCAAGTGTGCATGACAGCTTGCAGATGTATAAATAGTTTATACCGCGAATTAAGCCATTTCAGAATTTTAAAAAACAATACATTGTGATTAAATATTGAAGGATTTAAGATTAAATAAATAAAAAACCTATTCCGCTGACAATCAAACCTTAAACGTGCCAGATGATCTACGTTTCCACTATAGGATATATTCATCAACACCGAATTATAAAATTTAGGCTAAAGTAACCAAATTGTGACTAAAGCAGAAAAGCAGAGTTGAAGAATTATTGTTTAAACCAGCCATTTTAGGCCTACAAAAATATTTATCAGTCTACCACAGTTCAGTGATTGGTGAGTAAAGTAAGGAAAATATAACATGCTGTATAATGTAGGAATGTGCGCATATTTGCCCTGTCTCAGTGATTAGGAAATATTTAACTATGGCCTGATTATTCATATTACATAAAGTAGAATTGCGTTTGGCGAGATTTTAGAATGTAAACAAATAGTGTGTTTGGTGCAAATTCTGTGACTGAACTCTTAACATTTTTCCCAAGCCCATCTAGATTAACAATAATCACAGAACTACAGCGGTTTGTGGACTAATCTGCCATGATGATCAACCTTTATCAACATGCAGCCCACAAACATCAACTGTGTCAAGATTGGTCATCATGTCCTAAGGGTCCATCGTTAGAAGATACCCTCTTTTGGGTCTACATTTTTAATTTCTTCTTTCCTACACAGCTTCCCAATCCATTAACAAGCTGGGTTGTAGGTTTAAGGCAATATCTGTTGTGATAATGCGTTCACTGGTGTAATAAATTGGCACCACATGTTTATCAGATGGCTGGATGCTTATTACTAGGGCAAAGCCTGTGGTGAGTTTAAAGAAGATATATAGTTGCGTGTTCTTTTGTGGCAGACAAATAACATGCTGCAAATGAAAGGGTATAATTTCTGTATATGAGAACAAAAATGTGTCCAGATCATTGCTGAAAAAAAGCTTTACAGGATAAAAAGGAAATGCAAAAACAAACCCTAACAATAATGCTAAACACGAAGAGCTAACCACATCCATGTTTCTGTGCATCAGCTTAAATCAACAATACAAACCATGGCACCAAGGTTTTTAACATACATTACATATTAAGCTTAGCCAGTCATCACTGAAATTATATTTTTTTAATTTATAATCTGCAGGCGCACAATTTATGTGACAGTACACTTTGCTGGAAATGTTAGCAGAATGCTTGGTTGTATAGGGAGAGGTATTAGCAGTAGAAAGAGGGAAGTGCTCATGCCATTGTACAGAACACTGGTGAGACCTCACTTGGAGTATTGTACACAGTACTGGAGACCGTATCTTCAGAAGGATATTGATACCTTAGAGAGGGTTCAGAGAAGGGCTACTAAACTGGTTCATGGATTGCGGGATAAAACTTACCAGGAAAGGTTAAAGGATCTTAACATGTATAGCTTGGAGGAAAGACGAGACAGGGGGGATATGATAGAAACATTTAAATATATAAAGGGAATCAACACAGTAAAGGAGGAGACTATATTTAAAAGTAGAAAAACTACCACAACAAGAGGACATAGTCTTAAATTAGAGGGGCAAAGGTTTAAAAATAATATCTGGAAGTATGACTTTATTGAGAGGGTAGTGGGTGCATGGAATAGCCTTCCAGCTGAAGTAGTAGAGGTTAACACAGTATGGGATAGACATAAGGCTATCCTAGCTATAAGTTAAAGCCAGGGACTAATTAAAAGTATTTCGAAATATTGGGCAGACTAGATGGGCCGAATGGTTCTTATCTGCTGACACATTCTGTTAGACGCATAGTGAAGGCATTTCTGAGCTGGATAATGTTTTGGCCTAAATTCAAAGCAATTCCCAAATCAATTACTTGTTTTTTATTTCTCTTCTTTTTCCATATTTTTCAGGGAAATTTACTATTACATTTGGACAGTCCAAGGACAGCTAGTCATCAATATGCTAGACCTTCAAACCCATCCATGAATCTAGTATTTTTTTTTTTTTAATGGAACATGCAGTTAATCTGATTTTTTTTTTCTGCTTTAGTGACTTGCTTCAGTTTTTCTACTATTTGTGTACTTTACATAAAAAAATAAAAAATAAAATACATATATTCTAATGTGACGTTGCATCACATCAGATAAGATATATAACTGTTTCGCTCTCTGTGTAAATATATATCTCCATCCTCTAGATATGTGGTTCCCATGCATGAGTCCCCTTTTTATCTGAAAACATTTGTTAACTGCAATATATAATAGTTCAAGTTAGAGATCGACTGATATCATTTTTCCAGAGCCGATGACGATACAGATTATAGTCTATCTCATTTTGGGTCCATTTCCGATAACTGTTGCCGATATTCTGTGCATTTAAAGTTTTGAAAAAGCAACACAATTTTTACACAATTCTGGCATTAAACAAACATGCTGTCAGCAATCACACTCCTGTCACTCTCAATCAGCCGGCCCAGTGCATCGCAGTTTATTATTCCCTGCCCTCAGCTTAGCTTTGCATGAGGGAACTCACAGGGATCTGTGATGTGGGCTTGTGACGTGGCACCTCATTGGCTGGCAGCTGAAGTTTCCAGATGCGAAATACATTGTGTGGTGATTGGGAAAGGTGAGTGAGCTATCAGTAATATCGGTAAATTGCAAGACAGATACAGATTATCAGAAATATGAAGAATATCGTCTCTAATGATGGTTGGAATGGGTAATCAGTCTACCTCTAGTTCAAGTCTAATAACCCAGTTCACAGGCCCCTCTCCTTCATTCCCAAAGTCTCTCCACACTATTCTGTCTTCCTCCTGTGCACAGTCTTCCACTTGTGTTTCTCCCTCTATACAGCTCATCTCACCCTTTTGCCACTGCTCTCTTCCCTGAGGTTTTCTTTATCCCGTTGAATTTCCCTGCAAATTGCTATTTTATACACTCAGCACAGTCTGATTACAAATATTCACTACTGCAGACCTCTACAATCCTCACACATGTGTTCTTTGACTCCCATACAGCGTTTGGCACTCATGCGGCTAATGAATCTTGGGCTCAATACATTGCAACATAGTTCAAAGTGATGACTAAGTGAATATTTTGGAATGGGTAGGCAAAACTTTAAAACACATCAAACGTCTTGATAATCATATCGGATTTCAAGAATTTTAGATATATGATTTACATTTTACAAGAATTTGCAAAAAGTGGTGAATTAATAAGAATACCAATATGAACAATTACAATGTTGCTTGGCTACCTAATCAGAACAATACTTCTAGGATGAATTACTTTCTATATAGACAACTTACACTATGTTCCCCTTTAGAGTAGAGTGGTGTAGAAGATTGAATCCTTGACTATTCTGTACAGTGAAATCTATATTGGGGACTTCCGTGAGGATTTCAATGATGCTTCTGAAATCTGCTGTGATGGCGCAGTGTAACGGAGTGTCCCCATGTGAGTCCTAAGATAACAGACATGAGATTATTACCTTTTTTAATTTTATTTCATCATAAAAAGTGGGTAAAGGGGACACAAACAGTGAACACATTTTCTCACCTGGATATTGATTGTAGTGTTTGGAATACAGAGAACTTGAACTACTTCGGCAAATCCCTTGTTAACCGCAATGTACAGTGCGGTGAACTTGGCGTTGTTCAGAAGTTCTGTATCGGCTCCTTTTGCCAGTAGCACTCTTATTACGGCCGCCTGGTTTCTGGGGAGGGTGAGAGTAGAATGTTATGAAAGTATATGGAAAACACACACCAGGCTGCAATTAATTTTAATTACGTAATTGAACTCGTCTGGAAGATATGATCTTGAACACAGTGATTTAGGCTGAACTGTCCCTTTATTCCTGGGACTGCGGGTGAAATATATTTTGTGACTCTTGGACAGTCAGCCAAGTGATAGTCTAAGCGCTAAGTCAAATGTGCACAATTGCAAATGTTATTGTGCTGAAAGTGCACATCTCCTTTCTAAAGGTGGCTTAAAACGACAGTGATTTTCAAAACTTGCTGCAGCTATAAGTTGACCTCTGTACTTGCTACAAAAAAGGAACAAGAGATACTTTCCCCTTTTTAGTATCTGATCGCTTCAATTCGTACGCATGCAAAACTAGGACTGAACGGTGTCTAATCTTCTGCAGAGAGTCCAAGCTGTGCAGATACTTGGTCGGCAGCAGGCTGCTTTACAAAAATTCTGAACCAGACTTTGTATAAACTGACAGCAGTCACTGTATAGCTGTTATCAGCTTATAGAGCACTTCTACCCATCTTACGTAATGCGTGGAACTACAAATATGGAATAAACTACTTCTCATAAAACCTGCTGTAAAGGAGTTTATAGGATAAGAACCGACCCCATAGACCAGAATAAAATCTTCCTTCCTCTTTCTGCTCAGGGAGGAGTCTTCCAGCTGCTGACACATTTGCCTGTACAAATACAGCAACTCTAGAAACTCTAGAAAGGTTATTGTTTAATTATTTCTTAATGCATAAAAACTAGGATAAATTCCTGCCTATTGTGTCCATTTAACAATGACATGAAATATATGGGACAATCCTCTAGCGCAGCAGAGGTTCCCAAACCAGTCCTCAAGTACCCCCTAACAGTCCAAGATTTAGCGATTACCAAGTTGTGTCTAAGGTGTTTTCAGAAGAAGAAGAAGAAAAAAAAACACTTTAGACACAACAGGGTACACGAGGACAGGGCTGGGAACCCTTGCTATAGAGCAGGGGTTCCCAACAAAGTCCTCAAGTACCCCCTACCATTTTAAAGTGTTTTTATTTCTAAAAACACCTTAGACACAACAGGGTAATCCCTAAATCCTGGACTAGCAGGGAGGACTTGAGGACTGGGTTGGGAACCCCTGCTCTAGAGCCTAATCGTTTTGGGCACTCTAGACTAGCTTCTTTGTCTTACAAACATGACCGGATACAGTCACCCACTGGTAGCTAACCGTACCCATAAGCAGCATAATGCAGAGCAGTGTCCCCTTCATCATCCTTAAGGTCAATATTGGCATTGGCTTGAAGCAAGATCTTCACCACCTCTATGTATCCCAAGTGGGATGCCACCTGTAGAGCTGTCTTTCCTTGATTTCGTATATCCACCTACAATGGAAGGAAAAAAAATGCTTGCAATAAAGGCGTCACACAGTACAGTCTTGATTTAGACATAGATCTCCAGTCAAGCCCTGGGATGTCTCTTTTTTTTTTTGTCACCATCTGAAACTTCACAGATGAGTATTCAACCTGCCCCAGATTCTTCTAATGATCAGCTGCAAAGTGTTTTTTCCAATAATTATACAGTTTTTTTTTTTTTTCTTTTGACATGAATGACAGAATAATACTGAACGACTGGACTTGAGACGTATAATTTTATTAAACAAGACTGATTGTGTTAAACAGCTGTGGCTCTGGTTAGTGTAATTTTATGATGAGGAATTCAACTGGACGCAAGCCAGAGCTAGCTAAACGAGCAGAGGACAATCAGGCACATGGAAACACGTAGCAGGGAGATTATTATTATTATATTTCCTTACAAAGTCTGCAGCTACACCTCACTGTTTACAGGTTTTTTTTCCCCAAATGAGGAGATTATCGCAACCTTTTTACAAAGATGATACCATCACACAAGGATGTGGTATGTTACGCACCTTGTCCGGATGTTTCTGTAGCATCTCCTTCACTTTGGCTGCATTGCCGTGCGCCGCTTCAATAACCAATGAACTGGGGCTTTCACAATCAGTCTTCTGAGCAAGCAGTTTCTCAAAAATGGAAACCAGCGTGCCTGCCAATAGAATGGAGTTCAGTTTAAGGCAGTCTCCCTGTTGCATCATCTGACCCGTTTCTAAAGGCAGATGTTTAGTTGGCATTCAAGGCAGTGCAATCATCTGTGGTGTAGAATTTTAACGTTTCAATCAACAAGCCGGAAAGGTGTCCATTTAAAGTGCAAATTGGGTTGAAGGGACACTGGTGGGAGGATTTACTTGTCAGTTATTTAAATCATTATAGAGCTAATGATTTCAAAATATAAAACTCACCTAGTAATGTGCCTCTTTTTGGCAAATCCTCTGATACTTATTCTGAGTCCATGATGTCATCCAGGAAAAGGCTGAGATTCTCAGCAAATTATAGTCTCCCAAAGCCTTCTACATGAAGATCACTGAGCATGCTCATGTGTAGGAGGTTATATGTGCACACACTTAGCAATTTGTAATGTAATTAAACAGATTCAAACACATATGCTACATAACTGCTCACAGTTTCTTCACTAACACTATTAACAGCCAGCTTCCACTCATTGACATTTAAAGCGGCACTGTCATCCCGAACTTACCTTTCCTCAATCTCTTCCTCTTCTCCCCCTCTCTCAGGATCTGTTATTCTTTTCTTCCTGTCTTCTTTAGTTTTCTTTAAAATCATAAGACAAAGGAGGGACTCTTTGCCTTATGGAGGTTTCCTCCGCTTGACCAGCTCTGACCAGCGGAGGAGCAAAGTGTGCTTCATTTCCGCTGGTCAGAGCAATTTTCCCATAATTCTTACCTTTCCTCTGTGTTCCCACGATGCTTCCTGTCATTTTACACGAAACTGACGAATTGCATTCTAACTGAATGAGAACAGTATGTTCGTTTGTTTTAGAATGCAATTCAGCACTTTGTTCGGATCGCAATTTAATTCGAATGGATGAAACTCCAATCCTATTCGTGCTGTGGCTGCATCTTGCAGCCGCTTAGTAGATAACTACCTAATTCCCACGGTAGCAGGGAGTTATCTACTAAAAGGCTGAAAGACAAATTGGTCTTTCAGCCACATTTACTAATACTAAGTTAAGATTACCCACCCCTAAATGACGGGTGAGGGCCCTAAAGTAAAATAAGGGGGGAGACCTATTGTCGTTCCCCTGGCCCCCATCCCTGCGCTGATAATGAGGGGGGGGGGACCTACTGTCCTCCACTCCCCCCCGGCGGCGGGTGGGGGCCTTAATGATAATGAGGGGGGGCTACTGTCCTCCCCGTTCCCACCCCTGGGCGGCGGGTAGGGGCCATAATGATAATGAGGGGGGACCTAATGTCCCCCCCGCCCCCACCCCTGGGCTGCGGGTGGGGGCCATAGTGATGAGGGGGGGACACCTACTGTCCTCCCCCCCCAGGCCCCCTCCCCTGGGCGGCGGGTGGGGCCATAGTGATAATGGGGGGGAGGGGGGACACCTACTGTCCTCCCCCCCCCTTTGGAATTTTCCCACGACGTGTAAAATGACAAAGATCACTCTGATTTGCTTAAACCCACCAATCAGAGTGTTCTTAGCCTAATTGCAGGGCAGGGCAAGGCTTTATAAGCCTTCCCTCGCCCTGCAGAGCTCTGTCTGCGAGGAGCCCTCCACGGGTGAAGATGGATTATTTTTTTTGCGCTTTTTTCCTTTTCAGTCAGGTTTTTTTTTTGCGCTTTGGTTTTTTATTTTATTTTAAGTTCAACGGGTATGATGGTTTTTTATTTGGTCTTTTTTGGGGCTGAAAAATGAAGATTTTAGAAAAAAGAAGACGTCGAATGGTAAGTTTAATTTTACTTTACAGGTTAGTAATTTTATTCCCCCCTCACTATTTTTTAGGGTGAGGGGGGTAGGTAGGGGACTTTTAATTTGGGTGGGGGGGTGGGTGACTAGTGGTTTGGGGTCCCCTAGTCACCTTTGATGGGGGGGGGGGAATATGACTTAGGGCCCCCAGTAGGACAGTAGGCCCCCCCCACCCCATTATCTTTATGGCCACCACCCGCCGCTCGGGGGGGAGGACAGTAGGTCCCCCCCCACTTATTATCACTATGGCCCCCACCCGCCACCCAGGGGTGGGGATCTGGGGGGGGGGAAGGACAGCAGGTCCCCCCCTCATTATCATTATGGCCCCCACCCGTCGCCCAGGGGTGGGGGCCTGAGGGGGAGGACAGTAGGTCCCCCCCCTCATTATCATTATGGCCCCCACCCGCCGCCCAGGGGTGGGGGAAGACAGTAGGCCCCCCCTCATTATCATTATGGCAGGATAGTAGTTTTTTTTTGTTTTTTGTTTTTTTACAGTGAGCAGCCACAGGCTGCTCACTGTTTAGTTTACATGCCCCTACTCGCGGTATAGCGAGTAGTGGCATTGGGGAGATTTTAATCTCCCTTATGTTCTTATGGGGGTCATATTGACCCCCATAGAGTGAGTGGGCGGCCTGGGGGGCTTATGAAGTGGCAGGGAGCACTGCTCCCTGATGTTTCTATCTTTACATATTACAAGGAGGGAGCTGCGTGCCGGTAGCTCCCTCCTTGTAATAAACTGAACGAACAAACGAACACTGATACACAGTGTTTGTTTGTTCGTCTGATTTTTCTATTCATTCATTCGTCTTTCTGATCAATGAATGAATAGATGAAATTCCCGTTCTCATGTCCAGGTGTTTCACTGGGCATGTGCGGGAATCTCACAGTCTATCTAGTGTGGGCAGGTGACGTGTCCCACAGGGACTTTATCTACCCACACAAAGATGGCGGCGCCCTGAATAAAGATCGGGGCAGAAAATAAAGATAAAATAATAGGTAATATGGGGGGCTTAGAGGCATTTGGGGGTGAGTAGGGGTCAGTTAGATGTAGTGGAGGCGGGAGGGGGGTTAAAAAAAACAAAACGGGATTCGGCATGACAGTGCCGCTTTAAAGGGACACAGCAATCTATTTTATGTACTGGTTTTCAGCCAGTGCACAGTGGCACATTGGAGACTCAGGAGCCATCAAAGTGCGCCCCAAACACATAGTCCCTATTTGTCTTAGTATATCTTGGACTTTGTTGGAATTTCAGAGAAATGTCAGCACAATCAATATAAGCATTTCATAGAAATGATATCTTTATGAGCTACCCATATCGGAGGGAGGGAGACAGTGCCACTGTAATTAACCTACTGAGTTACACGAATGAATGAGGAGTCACACTCAATCCAATGGACAACAGGTGCACTTAAGCAGGACCAGCAATCCTACAACGCTAAGGCAAACAGAAGAATGGTCTCCAGGCACCCAGGGCAGATTTATTAAGTCAAGAAAATGTGATAGAGCAGCAATGTTTCAACCTGCTCCGAGGTCTTTGTCAAGCGTGACTATATTAAGCCTAAGTTATGCAATTTAAATTTCAAATCACAATTCAATGTCTAGTAAACAAACCTACTATTTCACAAGTACAGAGCATACTACGTAATACGAATAAAATTAGATTAGAGTTCACCGCAGAGAGTAAACAAAGCATGGTTAACATGAGTGCTTTAAAAAAAAAATATTGCAATTATATTATATCATTTCCTGTATTATTCTCACTTTTCTGCTCCTTGTTGTTTTCAGTAGTCATGAAGTTTGCATCTTCTTCTCGCTGGTATGCCGCTAGACAGGCTGGATTGAAAGTCCAAGACTGACCACCGACCGATACCCTCATATCTCCATCCCCAAACACTTTGATCACCTTGCCGATTTGTCCTAGTGCCTGATAAAACGGAGATACTCTGTGAAGCAGGATTTGTTAGCGAGAGATTTCCGAGACTTGACATGAATAATCTGTAACTTCTGTGTATACGTTTCTCATGTAGAATAGATGCTGTTGGCACTAAACATATTTTTCAAATAGAAAAGTATGACAATAAATACAAAGACTGCTGTATAACTGAGTCCCACCTTAGACGATATCTGTACTGCATCTAGGAAAAATTTTGCATTATTTTTAGACATTACAAAACACTTGATAAGGAAGAAGAACAATGCAAAAGGAAAACAAATGAAATGTAAATAATCGTACTTCATGCAAACACTGGTGGATGAGTGGACTATGCATGTATGCTATGAAGACTCATGTTTAATCATGCTCAAAATTATAAAATAATTGGTAGTGGGTTGTGACACTTTAAAAAACAAACAAAAAACGTATATTTTGAGACATCAGTTACTCATACCTACGTTCACCACTTTGGCGGAAGTTGCATGGGCAGGGTGCTGGCATATTGGTACAGTTCATACTTTACTAGCTTTAGGGCTTACTGGCCCAATTGCTTTATTATGTAAGCAGATAAGTTTTAGTTTACAGGTTACTGCCCTGCCTATCAGTAGGGGTGATTGCCCAAAACAATAACAGACCTATCCTATAAGAGATGAAGGTCTCTCTCGACCACAGTACTTCTGGGAGGAAGAGGGGAATAAGATGGGGACTCACTGGTACGGTTAACGGGTTCAAATTATTTTTCTTTGTAATTAAGAACTTACATTCAAAATGTTTGAAATGTTGAATATTTTATAACCTTGTCTATCACGACTGTACCTAACTTTTCAAATTGTTTATTATTCACGGTTTGTTAGAGCATTGGTAATCACGACTGTACCTAACTTTTCAAATTGTTTATTATTCACGGTTTGTTAGAGCATTGGTAATCACGACTGTACCTAACTTTTCAAATTGTTTATTATTCACTGTTTGTTAGTGCATTGGTAATACCTGGTATTTCTAATAAAAAATATTAAAAAAAAATTTTTAAATCACTGTTTAATATGCTTTATAATAAAATCTTGCATGCATTATAGGCTCTGTGTGTATGTGTATACACGTAAGTAATTATCTCTTTTTTGTGCTTCTCCCAGTGTTCCTAGTGCTGTATGGGAATGGCCATCTTTAGACCTTTATGGTCAGAAGGACAGCTTATATGACTAAAAACTATGCAACAAAATAAAGGGACGCTCCACTGCCCATACACCAAACAAATAAATGAATAAATAAAAAAAAAAATAACAAAATCACTGTTTATTAGATATACCCAAAATGATAACAGGCATGCATTTAATTAGGTACCTTTCCATATAGCTAAAAGCAGCTCACAAAAGCAGCAGATCTCTTGTCTGAAGCCTTTGCAAGGCCTCCCCTACTAACCCCACCCAGACTTTCTGTGGCTGTCCAATCATAGACTTCTCAATGAGAAGTCTTTACAAGGCAGGTGCTCTGAGCAATAGCTGCCTCTTGAGTATATCTCCACTGAGCTAAACAACCAGGAAGCAACAGGGTCCGTTGTCTGATTGACAGCCAGGGGTGTGTAACTTAAAAGTGCCAATTTCTAATGTAATCTGCACTTTTCGTAAAATAAAAAACTAGGACACACTTTTCACACATAAAGCACTTCAACATCTTAAGTTTTATACGGACATCATTACACACAAAAAAATGCACTTTAAAATGATTTCCAATCTTTAAATTGTGCATGATCTAAACAAATAAGCACTTTTCACCAAGAGGGCTAAAGATGGCCACCGTATTTAATCTTCTATTTTCAATAAAGTGATTAAAGTTTTCCTTTAATAATTACAGAGTACAACTACTTTAGAACTTACGAATGTTTCAATACATTTCAAAAGCCAATGGGAAAGATAATTTTTTTTGCAGAGAGATAAACACCGCTCAAAATAACTGGGATACCAATTTGTAAGTAAATCACATTTATTAAACTAAAATAGGTTGTTCTATGTCCCCCTCCCACCCCCCCCCAAAAAAAAAATATTTAAAAAAAACATATTTACATACTTTACAATTCATTGATTCTCCTGTAATTTATTTATTTTATGTGTCGACAGTAGTTTTGTGTTGAGTGTGTTCCTACAGTGATTTCCTCTGCTATTACTTGGAAGTGATTTAACGATCCATGTTTAGAGAGATGGATAAAATATTAATTCTTATTTTTACAAGCCCACTCAATTCAAAAGTCAAGAGAGTTAAAATGTATATTTTGCATTTGGAAAAAAAAAATGAATGAAAAAAAAATACCTTTTTTTTGCAGACGTTCACAATGCCAGCAGGTGGCAAACTTAACTTACAGACAATTCCTCTTCACCTCAAGGAAGGCCAGTTCAATACAATGTACGTTCATGAATGATCATGTTGCCATGGGAACTGCTGTGTTGCCATGGCAAAGTGCTTACTCAAATGTTGTATAGTCCTTAATAGGGATTAAATGAATACAGTGTGTCTAATCAATCAAAGGAGATGCTGACCTATGTTACAATTAACCCCTGCTCGACAATCGTAAGGCATAAGCAATTTAGATGTCATCAGTCGCATAGGGATTAAATGGACTTTAAGGTTATAATAAATAGACACGATTGGAGAGACTCTAGCGCAAATGCCTCAATTTACTATGTGAGGCTCAATACTCAGACATAACCTCTTCTTCCACCCTAAGGTCTATGGGTTGGGGTAATATTTAAAGGTGGGCCAGGGATTCTAAATGCCCATGCCCAACAAAAGACCAGTTGTGCCCAGGCCATAATACAAAAAAATGTTCACCACCGAATAGGAAACAGTGGATGCTGATCCTCCTGCTACCCAGTCCCAGTCACTAAGTCCCAGGTCATCTATCCCAATTAAAGCCATAATATTTTTAAATCACAGCCAAGTTTGTGTTTTTTTCTGGTTTGTTTTATTTATAGACGTGTTGCCTATTAATCTTTCTTTGTATTAATTGACATATTAACACATGGTAAGCTAAAAAAAGAAAAAAGTTATGTCATGAGTTAAATATACTCCATGATGTTAAAGTTAGGGATTTGCACAATGATTAGCTTTTGTCTCAGGTCACAGAAGTACCACTAAGTATGCAAAAACGTGCAAGAATTATTTCTGAAAAAGCACCTCGAAGTGTCAGGACAGTAAAGTGACACTATAGGCAACTTGGGTAGTTCTGATATCGGTTAAGGGAGTGAGTGGGTGTGACGGGCATATAGGTAGGTCCATAACTCAATTATCTCCTTGGACAACATGACTCCCCACAAACGGGGCCCACTGTCCTGGTGCACATTAGCAAAAGGATGAGGATCTGCCCGTTAAGAGTTGCCAATCAGGACGAGTGCTTGCAAATCCAAAAGCTGCCTGGGTGATGATGATTGTTGCTGGATGCACATTACCATATGCAGCACCAATAATACGAGAGATGGGGTGGTCTTTGGACTTGTAAGCACCCTTTCCTGGGAGGAAGTGCATGCGAGTTCCTCCATATTTGGAGTGACAATCAATTCATTAGTATGAGTTGGCATGTGAGCCTGGACATATAAATCCTGGCTCTCTGAGTGACAGGGCTTGTTTGCAAAGCTCCATGGTCAAGCCATATTTTGCCAGTTTGAAAAACATGTCAAGTGAAAGACTACAAGGACATTTTATTTATTTCAATTAAGTGCATACGGGTTTTATTCACTTTCTGGGAATTGTTGCGGTTTCACAAGGCCATAATCGCTCGATTGAGATATTTCTCTATTCAAAATTATTTTTGTCTAAAATCTACAATACTACTACCAGTTTAATGAATAAATCCTGTATTTGTATAATCAAACATGTCTGTAAAAATTAACACAAAAATTGTTTTCCCAATATTTTCAGCGGGTAATTAGAAAATTCAGGTTATCAGTAATAGGGATAGTAAGAGGCAAAGATCTATAAAAAGAATGCTTGTGTGTAGTAGGGATGCAACTGCACTCACAGGGGCCATATCATCTGTCCACTCCCCATGACCAACTTGGAGCTTCTTAACTGAATCCATGCAATCCATCACACGCACAGCATCACCAACCCAAATGCTGTTGTGCTAAAAATGAAAGAAAAATAATAAGAATAAAACAAAAAGGTTTTTCGGATTTCTAATTGATGCAAAAGAAAAACGGAGCAACAAATGAAAAATAAAGTACAATGCGTTTAAGATGTGTGAAAGCACCACCCCATACGTAATTATGAGTGCAGATAAATCTCAATGATTAGCTGACTTAGCACAAGACATGGATTGTGTCACTCATCCAAAAACACGGCCTGGTGTGGCCAACAGTTGTTGATGCTGTAATGAATGCCTAACACTCACAGACTAACATCTCCGACAAAGGTCCATCGCTCTCATTGATAAATCAAGCAGAAACGCTTATTTAAGAAATAATCTCACCCTTTTTGATAAATTTGACAATACTTTGTTTTGGTGCATCACAAACATGCTTCCTATTTATTTACAAAACAGTGAAAGGGATATTTAAGCACCAAATCAACTTTAGCTTAATTAAGTAGTTCTGGTGTATAGATCATGCCTCTGCTGTCTTACTGATCAATTTTCTGCCATTTAGGAGTTAAATCATTTTGTTTATGTAGCCCTAGTCACACCTCTATGCATGTGACTTGCACATCCTTCCTAAACACTTCCTGTAAAGAGTCATCTAATGTTTACACTTCCTTTATTACAAATTTTGTTTAATTTAGAATGTTGTATCCCCTGCTCTGTTAACAGCTTACTTGACCATGCAAGAGCCTCCTATATGTAATTAAAATGCAATTTACAAAGCTGGAGATAACTTTTAAAGTAAGTTAACATCTGATTTAGCAGGAAACCATTCTGTTTTCATGCAGGCTGTGTTAATAACAGTCAGTGGAGGTGCGGCTAGGGCTGCATAAACAGAAACAAAAGTGATTTAACTCCTAAATGGCAGTGAATTGAGCAGTGAAACTACAGAGGCATGATCTATACAGCAAAACTGCTCCATGAAGCTAAAGTTCTTTTGGTGACTATATTGTCCCTCTAATAGAGCAGCTTTGGTGTATAGATCATGCACATCCAGGCTCACTGCTCAATTCTCTACCATATAGGAGGTAAATTCTTTTGTTTTTGTTTATGCAGCCCTAGCCACATCTCCCATGGGTGTGACTCAGAGCCAACATGAAAAGAAATGTTTTTATTTTCATTCAGATCAAACGATTATCTCCTGCTCTCATTCTTACAATTATATAAAATTACCCGAACAAAAAGAAACATGTTTTCAATGGGTATGAAAAAAATTAGAATAAAATAAATAAAAGGCACATTAAAAAAAAATGCAGAGCTCTTCTACTATGTTTCCACTCAGATTCAATTCCACATTATCCTTTAAAACCGACCAACACTTAATGATCACAGTGCATCTCTGTGACTTCCTGTTGATGGAAACCATTCCAACCGCCAGGAATAGCAAGACCTACAGCATTCCATGTTATTGCAAAAGAAGCACAAGAATGCATATATCTTGTAAATTAAAAAGCAAGTACTATTAAAATAGACAAGTGAACACTAACATGATCATTGATTGAAGAGAAACAACTGTCGATACCCAGATTTAAATTTTGGTAAGCTTAGAAAGCATATTAGAAAAGAAATAAGACCCAATCCATGACAGACTAACATGTACTATTCTCTTTACTATATTATAAGATAAACTTATTTGGCCTTTTTGAAAAGCAGTTTTACATTTACGTATAAATTATTTCGCCAGGAACACAATATTAAGTTTAAAGGGACACTATAGTCACCTGAACAACTTCAGCTTAATGAGGTTGTTCAGGTGAGTGCTACAGCTCCCTGCAGCCCTTTTCTTGTAAGCATAGAAAATACAGTGTTTACATTGGAAGCTTGGAACACCTCCAGTTGCAGTCAGACGGCCACCAGAGGGACTTCCGAGTTCAGAAGCCCTAAAAAGGCTTCATTCACGTCTGACGTATTCACGCATGGGTGAATACTTCAGACGTGCTATCAGCACACAAAGCACTGTGAATGCGCTTTGTGTGCTGAGGCTGTCAGCACTGCGTGGGAGTGGCTTGAGCTGACAGGCTGAAGACCGAAGAGGAGGAGGGGAGGATTCAAACTGTAAGTAAACTTATTTAGTGAGTGTGGGTGGGTGACGATGGATGATGGGGATGGATGGATGATGGGAGTGGATGGATATGGATGATGGGAATGGATGGATGGATGATGGGAGTGGAGGGATGGATGATGGGAGTGGATGATATGGATGATGGGGATGGATATGGATGATGGGAATGGATGGATGATGGGGATGGATGGATATTGATGGAGAAAGTGTGTGTGTGTGTGTGTATGTCTAATTTTTTACTACTTGTGTGTTTGCATAGAAACACTATATATAGAGAGATCTCTATATATAGTGTTTCTATGCAAACACAGTTTGGCTGAGGAGGGGGGCGGGTATAGAAAGCGAGCTGAGCTGTCAGTCAGACACATGCGCGGTTGAGCGCTGAGTTTCTTCATAGGGTGGCATTCAATGCCGCTCTATGAAGAATGTGATTGGTGCAGTGCGAAACCGCGCATGCGCACCACGTCCTATTGGGCCCTGCGATTTCGTCATTTTGACGAAAAAGGGGGAATGGCCTAGCGGGGAGCTCGGCGCTGGAATGGAGGAAAGTTTTATTATTAAAACTTACTCAGATTTTTTTTTTTTCCCGCAAGTTCATATAAAAGCAAGAAAGAAGGCTGGGGGACCTGTCTTTCTTGCTTTTATATATTGACTATAGTGTCCCTTTAATTTGTATGCAAGTTTGATGGCGTTACCATGATCTTGTGAAAGTTTAGAAGCAGTCAATTATCCACAGTAGTAGAATTTGTAATGCTATTGGTTCTGATATTTTCTTGTTTGTAAAAAATGTAAGTTAAGGTAACTATGCTGCCAGCCACAACTAACATGCCGTTCGAAAATGTTCCTTAACTTGCAGTGCCTTATGAATCCTAAAATTGCTTGTTAGGCATTGGTCGAATACATATCTGCACATAGGTTACAAATCAAGTGGGCGTTACCAGCATTAGTAAATATCATATTATCCTTAATCAATTTTGCCATGACGATTACATTTATTCCCTGTACCTTTGTTAACGCCCCTGGATGAAAAGTCCAACGCGTTTCGCTATTGTATTGTACACGGACATCACCCCGTTCTGTGATTCTGTGAACTGTTCCTGTTTGACCTATAAACTGCATAAGCAAAACAAGTAGTTAAAGCAAACCTTTAAAGTTTAGCTAATAAATCTTTCACTTTAGATCTATGAATAGAACAGCTGTTCATATTTAAATGAAAATAAGTCACACTCATGAAAGGGCACATGTCAAAGTAAAAAATATACTTCTACTCATTAAAATACATTCTGAATCTTAGTTTTGAAACATTTAATGGTTCCTTATTGTCCAGCATCAGTCCAAGGGCTTATGTTTTCTATTCCACTGCAGATACTGACACAACCTGGACTGTCGCTGGGTCACAAGGACTGATTTAGAAACCAGTGATATAAAGGGAAGTCAATCGATCAGTAAGCCATATCTCAAATCAGCAAAGCTGTTACTGAAGATCTAAATAAAATAACATAATATAGAAATGTTTTAAACTAATTATTAGTACAAAACATTTTAAAGTGTGCAGTTTCTCCAAGAGAAGAGACAGGAGGTCCATCCTAGATGAACCTGTGGTTTTCGCATGATATATGCACCAGTTGAATCAGTCTCATACTGCAAAAGTATAATCTCCATTTGACATCTCTAGAAGCCAAAACTGCATTTATAGCCCACCACGGGAAAGAAGAGCGTAATGAAGAAAAGTAGTTGTGGTGATTGTAGTGACCCTTTTAGCTATAATGATTATGTAAGTGCATGCATTACCTCTGCCATTTTGGGATTCCACCCTCCATGCCCCTCTTGCATTTCCCGCAAAATTTCAATGTCCAGTAGACATTTTACTTTGTCCCCATGTTGAAATGGATGTCTGTCTGAGTTTTCCTTTCGTTGAATCTCAGCTGGTTTACCTAAAATTGATCAAAATGGCTTGTATTAAAACAGAAAACAATTCAATTTACGATGGTCCTTTAAACTTTAGTACCAACAGTAAACATCTGCATACCAAGCTTGGGCAAGTGGTCTTTGTAATAATGGCCTGCAGAAGCGTCGGTGATACATCTCAGATCCACCTTGCCTTTGTGCCCAACTCTGTACACATTAGTGGTTCCATCTGCCCATGTTACACTAGCCACGCTTCGGCCAGTTTCTACGTCCCATCCACGAATATCAACTACTCGGCCAACTTTTGCTTCCCCACCTAGTAAACAGAGCAAGAACAGAGCATAACCATATTGATGCTACTACATTACTTTAGTATATCTCATGCTGGTTAATTTGGCCATGGGTACACATATGACGGGCCAAAGACACATTTTAATATAATCAGTTGTAAGCTACCATAATGGCATGCAACAGGAAGCAAGGGACATGAGTTTACAAATGAACTGGAGAAAAGTGCTAAAACATTTAAATTATATTTAGAATTTTTCCACACAGGTGATTTTTGTGATGGTGAAACAATTCTTCACTCTCTAAATAAACATGTACACAAGTAATACTACAGTAGAAATTCAAAGATGTGAAATGTTAAAGGGACACTATAGTCACCAGAACCACTACAGCTTAATGTAATGGTACTGGTTTCCATAGCATGTCTCTGCAGACTCTGCAATGCAAACACTGCCTTTTCAGAGAAAAGTCAGGGTTCACTTTGCTGCCTAATAGCTCCTCTTGTGGCCGTTACTTAGTCCGCCACTAAATGTGCTTCCTGGGTTAAGTTCTATAATGTATGCAGGACCAATTCTCAGCGTCTCCACGTTCTGCATTGAGACACTGAATGCTACTCAAAAAGATGCACTTATTCAATACACCTCTATAAGGCGATGCTAATTGGCACACTAGCCTCCCTATGGTTTCCTATGGGAAAGTATTGGGTTGGTTTAGATCATCAGCCAAGGAGGCAGGGACACCAGTGCGCTGCAGGATATAAGGTAAAACCGTTTTTTCCCTTAGAGGGAACACCCAATAATCAAAATAATCAGAAGGACACTATAGCTTTAGGAATAATTGTTTGTAAAATGTAAATCTGTATTTGCCTTTTCCTTTCCTATTTAATCGAGTATAGTTAAGGACATGCACTACTTGAGAATTAAAAACAAAACACTGAAAAATATTTATAAACTTACTATAAACTGGTCAGATTGCATTATTGTACACACCTCTCAGCTAGGGGAGTTTCTTCAGGCCCACTCCCTCTTTCCGACCCATATCTGTTTCAGACCAGTCCACAAATGGTAGAAACAGGGCACGATTAGAAATCTAACACTGGAGCCTGCTGTACATGATTACACTGATCAAACTCCCTCTCTTCTCCCCCTGTCAGGATGTTGCAAGATGAATTCCAACTACACATGTGTAAATCTGACAGGCATGCCCACTGCACTTTTCCAGCATTCTTAGGGATAGGACACTGATTGGTTAGATTAATGCCCCCCCATGATTGGGTGTGGAAAACATAAGAAAGAAGAAGCAGGTAAATAAAAAAAATCATATTTAATTTTTTTTTTCAGTCTGCAGAATGTGACAATTACCTTATTCAAATCTATAGCTTTTGAATGAGACAATTGTTGCAAAGTGATGCGGTGTCCCTTTCATTGAATATATTAAAACAGTGCCTTTTTATAACATATAATATGTGACAGTATTACTGTTAAACCTTCCCATAGTCATATAGAGAGACACTATGCTTGAGCAAGGTAATGACAGCTGGACACTAATGTTATGCAGGAGCCATGTGACTCTGCCTAAGGCAAAGAGATGACATATATTAATAGCAGGAGCCAGTATTTAGACACAAGTAATAGAAGGCCAGCTGGGATTATCTGTTCCTGCTTTCAGTGTGTGTTGGAGAAAATACAACAAACAAAGCGTACATTATTTTGGTTCATATAGCACTGTGCGGAGAAATGTAGTTTCACCACAAATCAGAAAAAAAAATAAAAAATTACAATTATTTATTACATTGTAAGAATATATAATGAAGACATTCAGGCTAGAATCCATATTATTATTTTTTATTATTATTTTTTTATATAGCGCCATCAGATTCCATAGCGCTGTACAATGGGTATATAAATAAATATTAAAAATTTGCCTTAATATTAATTAGTCCCCGAGCCATGTCACAGCACAGGTCCTGTAAGTGAGAGAGACTGACTTGGACAGCAGGCAGGTACTTGATTGACTCACTGGGAGATGAAAAGCAATAGAATTAAAAGGTTACTGCGCAGGGACAGCATTTTTGAATTCTGCTACTGGAATTGCAAGGCAGTGAAGGAAACACTCCCATTTCAAATACCAGCTCCATGTAGATGTTACAGGGGTCGAAGTGTCTGAGCATTGCCTTCTCCTTTAGGCGACTGATAGCCTGAGAATGTCAGTAGTACGTAGTATTCATCGCAATGTGCGGTCAGTGATTGCTAAACCAGATGTTTCGGGTGCTAGAGGTTCAATAAGCTGAAGTGGTTATGGAAGTGTGAGTGTTCCTTTAATATCGGGTCAGTGCCAATGGATACTTTATATCACTCCTAATTTTATTAAATCTATTTTGCCATTTGTGTAGATTAGTGCATCAATTATATATTGTTAAACTAAACAAATACAGCGTTATTCACTAAAACTATATATAAACTATTTTGACCTTAAATTTGAATTCCTACTTTAGTCAATAACCCTGATTCGTTTTATTTGATACTGAACATATGTCACTGTGAATTCTGTTCAGTCCTATTCATGCTTTTTCTGTGCATATCAAATAGTTGTGGGCAGAAAAGAAGCTGAATTAGTGAATGAAATCATGGCTATCTTGGCTGAGGTGGTGATTAGTCATTGAGGATAGAACACATGAGTTAAAACAATGGGGGATATTTATCAAAGTGTTCTTTCAAAAAAAGTAGCCTACAATACTAAAAGTGGGGCTATCATCATGAAAACCATTCCACTGGTGACTCTTCAACTGCCCCCCCCCCCCCCCCTTTTTTTTTTTAAACCGGACAGTTTGCTAAATCTCCCCAATATTTTTTGTGTTGACTGCCATACGAGCTTACTTCCTATGAAGTGTAGAACGTCATTCTCTGTACCTCTGCAAACTGTATCCATGGTCACATCCACTAATAGACTTCATACATAATGGCTGCTTATAGCGTATGTTACCTTCTTACGTTACCTGCAAACCCAGCTTTATCACTGGCTACAGTGCGGTTACAATTTAACAAAAAAAAACACATTTCACAATATTCTCTACTTACCATCCTGATTACCCCATTCCCAGTCTGGGCCACGTACAACCTTGGCTCCTTGTAAGATACCTTTCAGTACAATACGAGGCAGGCCTTGGCGTGGGTTCAATAAGACACTGCAAAAGGACGAAAAACAAAACAAATTAAATATCTTCAGCTCTCTACCTATCTATAGCTAAACATGTCTAGGTTTGTCAACACCTTTTAAAATGTCAATTTGTAAGTTTTTTTAATATAATAGGGTATGCCAAGCACTGGGAATGATGACAAATGTATTTATGAATAAAATTCAAGACACTGGAATCCGGCTCCACCTCTTGTCATTCTCTTCCAAGAAAAAAATGTCACAGGGTTATTCCCTAAAATCAACATTTTGTGCATTACATTTCTGTGGAAAATCTCCTACTGAGATATAGTCACAACTTAAGAAACATAGAAACATAGAATGTGACGGCAGATAAGAACCATTCGCCCATCTAGTCTGCCCAATTTTCTAAATACTTTCATTAGTCCCTAGCCTTATCTTATAGTTAGGATAGCCTTATGCCTATCCCACGCATGCTTAAACTCCTTTACTGTGTTAACCTCTACCACTTCAGCTGGAAGGCTATTCCATGCATCCACTACCCTCTCAGTAAAGTAATACTTCCTGATATTATTTTTAAACCTTTGTCCCTCTAATTAAAGACTATGTCCTCTTGTTGTGGTAGTTTTTCTTCTTTTAAATATAGTCTCCTCCTTTACTGTGTTGATTCCCTTTATATATTTAAATGTTTCTATCATATCCCCCCTGTCACGTCTTTCCTCCAAGATAGAAACTTGGCTATTTTTGCTACAGTTTCAACATTCGCATATAATTCTCAAAAATTACGTTTAGTGAATAACACTCTATGTTTAACAAAGACCAAAGTTACTGATTTTCTAATAGAAAACCTGTGTAGTGAAATTGACACTTGGTGGGACTGGTTCCAGGTAGTGTCAGGGTTTCCCACTTGGACTGGAGACAGAATGCTGGATTATACAAGTGTGCATCACTGGAAACATGTGTTAGTATGTAGTGTTTATGGGCTGTGTTTTTCTGGATGGAGTGATAATGTAGACTGTGTAGTTGAGTTATAACACAGGGTTTGCGGTTCAGGGCTACAGCAGTCAAGACAAGGATTCACGAGTCGAATGGGGTTCATCAGGAAACAAATGTCCTGCTGCTGTTATTACCTGCCCTACCTTGTAACTAGGTGCCTCTTTTAGAAAAAAATATAAGTCCCTATCCTAAGTAAAACAGTAAGAATGGACAATATATAGACAAAAGACATCCAAAGATGACAAAAAATAAATAAATAGAGAAAAAAAAGGTTACTGGTCTGTTCGTCAATACTGAAATATAATTGCCTTTGTAGGGACAAAGGATGTGAGCTGTAAAAAAAAAATAATAATACTGAGAATCATCAAAAGCTGAAAGTTTGCAGTGTTTGTGATATTATCTGTGCGTGTTTAAGTTTAGAATGTCCAGGGCATGCCAAAGCTACAATTTGACAGCTTTAACATTAGGTAATGTTCCAGCAAATTATGCTAATTACCACTGGGACTGTCTGAAATGGCTTTGCTGATCATTAAATAACATACTAATTAGCTAAGAAGGACTGTAACTATTAATATATTGCCCAGAGCTTTCAATTTAACAAGGGCTTTAGAGGAAATGTGTCCTTTGAATTAATTTTGTTTGTTCAATAATTAATGCACATTCTTACATATAATTATTGCACCTTTGTTCTTTATTTTAAAAGAACATGAAAACCGATTATTGGAATCACTGGCAATAAAGAATAAAATGTCCAAAATAGTTATTTAATGAGATGATGTCTCCCCCTATTGGTAGCACATAATTCTACAAGTAAATCTGGATAAAAGACTTGATGGTAAATAGGCTGAGTCTTAGCTAAACAGGACCTATGAAGGGTATTGTGTGTGATGGTTTTGTAAACTACTATAAGAGGAGTAACCAATTTTAGTATAGAAATTAGAGGCTAAACTGAAAGCAAAAAACAGGGTGCCACAGAATACTGAGAACGGGCAACAGCTCAATTAGCCTGCCCTTCGGTGGATTCCCGCGCATGCTGGTTTTAGCTCATCTTGTGCTATTACAAAAAGAACCAGGGCCATTTGCATATCAGACTGATCCCACCCAAAAGGGAAGGATAGATCCAAAATTCAGACCTGTTCTCTTTGCATGAGAGATAGAGCAACCCCAGACAAAAATAATATCAGCAAGTATTACTTTACTGAGAGGGTAGTGGATGCATGGAATAGCCTTCCAGCTGAAGTAGTAGAGGTTAATACAGTAAAGGAGCTTCCCTATGGGATAGGCATAAGGCTATTCTAACTATAAGATAAGGCTAGCGACTAATGAAAGTATTTAGAAAATTGGGCAGACTAGATGGGCCGAATGGTTCTTATCTGCCATCACATTCTATGTTTCTATGCTTCAACCTTGTTAGGCATTGTCAGTAAGGTATAGCCAATATCCCTCTAGGCACCGTGAGCAAGGGATCCACATCTGGATTACCCTTTAAACTTAGGGAGAGCAGAAAACAGGGTGCAGGCTAAACTGATTTTAACTACTTGGTGTTAAACTACTTGGCCCAAACAAATAAAAAATAGATTTCATTATTAAACATGATTTAAGGAGCTATTAAGAGAGGTGGCTAAAAATAAGATCCCCAGCTTTAGTGTTCGCAATGCATAATGGTAAATGTAGTTCCCCAATACTCGAAGGATCTATATTCAACCATCCTTGCCTTACGGCATCTGGCCTGTTGTGCACATTGTCTTTATTGGCTATTTTTAAATTTTACATTCCAAATGATAGCTTTAAAGGGACACTATAGGGTCAGGAACACAAAAATGTATTCCTGGCCCTATAGTGTTAAAACCACCATCTAGTCCCCCTGGCCCCACCAAAATATAGTAAAATCATATCTTTATTTCAGTCTGCTACTGCTGGTTCTACCCCTGATTTGCCTCCTTGGCTGACATCATCATAAGTGTTTATTAAAGCCAATCACAATGCTTTCCCATAGGAAAGTATATAATTGGCTGAGACTGTCAAGTAAGCAGATCAGGGGCAGAGCCAGCACAAGCCAAACAGCATCTGCCCCAGGAAGTAACTCTAGTAGCCATATGAGAGGTGACCAGTGGAGTTATCACTAGGCTGTATTTGTAAACACTGCATTCTCTCTGAAAAGACAATGTTTACTGCAAAAAGCCTAAAGGGAATTATACTATAATTATTTTTTATAATTATATACTATATTATACTCACCAGAACATATACAATAAGCTGTAGTTGTTCTGGTGACTATAGTGTCCCATTAACAATCTTAGTTACATCATTATAGTGGCTTAACATCATGTAGAATTGAGTCAACAAACAAATACATTATTATTATTATTATATTATCTATATAGCACCAGCAAATTCCATAGTTTTGTACAATGGGATTGACCATCATTTACATTGACCAACATTTACGATCACTGGTGGTAGAACAGAAGAACTACTGTGCCCGTGTGTTTGAAAAAAGTTGTAAATTTTACACAGAGGAAACAGAAATATAATAGAAATATATGTAAAACATATACATGTTCAAATGTCTTAAAATTAGTTTTTCATCATTAGGGTGAAGCTGCTTCTCAATATACTTTGTGGATAATTTTGGATGTATTAAACAAATAGATTAGTCTATATTATATCACATTAAGTTGTCCAGTAGTACGTCATTGCATTACCCATGTCTAGGTACAGCTTAACTATATCCTGTAGTAAAACTGTAATGCTAAAAGATTTAAAAGGCTTCTGGTGTATTGTCCATAAATATGACTGAAAACCAGACCATGACAGAAACAAAAGCCACAATGTTTTGAAAAGTATATGTAGGGCCAGACTTTTCTCATGTCTTTTGACAAGCCTCACTACTACATATGAAGAAAAACTCAACACATACTGTAACTACTGACTGGCTTTTTTACTTACGGCTGAGAGTGGGCAGTTTCATATCTCTCAAAGGCATGGGACAAGTCGTGTTTGTTGTTCATGTAGCATTGAGTGCACAGGTCATAGTCAAAGCAAACTTTGCACTTCCAACGCATTCCACGAATTCCATGCTTCTTGCAACAGTCACAGATGATATTAGGATGGCGAACGCCTGGGAAATAATTGCATTTTGTAGTCAATTGATTAAAATTTAAGATAGGAGTAAAATAGTAGTAGATTAATTCAATAGTAGATTAATAGTCAAAACTATAGGAGAAGGCTAAAGGGCATCACCTACTGCCTGTTCTAGTGACAAGCAGAATAAACCATGTGACTCTTTAAGTTACTCACAAATAAAATGGTACTAAAGAAATCAGTCTGTTTATGAGAACAGACATACAGACAGACATTGAAAAAGGGAGAAATCATTCATAAAGGGCTCTTATTAAAATAAACAAATATTTAATTTACTCTGCAAAACTATTTTCTTTCCCCCAATATCCTACGGTATTGTAAAATTTTTGATTATATTAAAAAACCATGTACTGTGCACATGAAAATAAAATTCTATCCCCTGCACAGTTTCTATAAGCAGAGATCAGTACAATTTTCCTGTTCAGTAAAAGAACAAAGTTTAATACTTCTCAATATTCTAAGATATAGCATTCCAGAAAATGAAACAAAGCCAAGTTTTCATGCATGCAGCTACCTATTTGAGCATTATCATACAACAGCAGGTCATATGATCCCTGGAAGCCTGTTCGATAGTTAGTCCTGGTGCCATGATCCCACTGCACAACCACTGTCTTATCCGGTGTTGTTGGGCTTCCCTGTCGGCCGATTTCCACCACCGTTCCTAAACTTCCTTCTCCGTTATCCTGGTTGACCCATTTCCAATCTATGCCCCTCACTACACGCATTCCAACCTGCATCGCAGCAGAGGGGTCCCAGTCCATCTCAATCTACTGATGTGACATTAGTGGGCATTGAGAAGATCTCCCGTCACTTGGAAGAGACCTTATTGGGACGTCCAATATTTCCAAGTTCAACAAAATCTGTAAAATATAAAACAATAAATAAAAAATAGGACATCATTTTATTACAGCAGCTATTTGTACCATAAAAATTACAGAAACCCACATTAGATTAAATAAGCTATCTGTTCCTGGCACTACATGAATAATTATTTCAAGTTCTTGCACAAATTACACTTGATGTGAAATTGCTTCTTACATCAGGCTTCCAGCGAGCCAGAAGATACAGTTGTGTTTTCTGCATTTGATGAGACACTAATAAGCCTTGGGGCCTGAAAAAAAAGATGATCACAATTTCCTACTTAGACTATTAGCTGTACCGACAATTCATTCATTTATATGTATTACGCTGATGTTGTAATCTGTGTCCGTGAGTTTCAGATCTATTGCCTAAGCAGAGCAAAGATCAATGTAATTAGTAAACCAATGAGAGCAGGTAAAAAAAGAGATGGGACAAGCTTTTAAATTAACTATTATTCTGCCAAAGAGGTCTACAAGGCATCATGAACACTTCTCTTCATACCATTACACCAAACCTTTAAAAAGAGCAGGGGGGAGAGAGGGGAAAAACGCTAGGTGCAGGGATTCCCAACCTAGTCCTCGAGGCAGCAGTGGGGATTATACTGACAAACACTGGACTGTCGGTGTACCCCGAGGACTGTGCTTGCAACCACTGGGTAATGGGTAATAATTACACTCAACTTGGTCAAAAGAAAGCAATAAACTTTTACTGCCTCTGCTTGCAACATACGGTTTAGCTGAGAAAAGTCTTAATTTAGTTTGTCACATAGGAACCATAAAACAAAGTGTAAATGGGAAAGAAAATGTATGTAATAATCATGTTTGCCCATATCTCTTAAAAACAAAATCAAAGTTCTCAATAGAACATAGGCAAACCCTTCTTGCCAGGATGGTGGTGTGTCTTTAGGTAGGCCGTATCCCTGATAAGGTGAATGGGAGAAGGAAGATTTCTGCCTGTTTCACAACAATGACGATATGGTGCCATACATGACATCTTTAACAGCTCAGAGAGAGAAGGGGAAGCTTGCTAGACATCTTGTCTGTTAGCATCACACGGACTAACTGTTTTGGAAGCCTCGCTTCATAAGACACTGCAAACTTATATCTATTACATTGAGCGTGCAACACAGAGCTCCGTGAGATCAAGAGGCCAGATTCTCCAGGATGAATTGACATGAATGTTCTCCAAAAGATTTGGACACCACCCGGAAAGTCAGTGGGTTTTGTCAGTGAGGAGCCTAAGTGTGTGGCTGAGCGATGGTGGCACAAAAATGTTTCTGCAAGGACACAGAGAGGACACGTCACCCTGGTTTTGTGAGCATTTGGACAGAAGGCCGGTGGGTGCATGCACAAAATGAAGGGTACTAGAACCAATGGATAGAGGTTACGTGTTGATAGACATATAACTATGAGTGTCTGTAGCAGATGGGGAGATAAGGGGATTGGTAGATGGTTGTCATCTGCCTTCGGAAAACAGGCTACTAGTATTCATCCACTCCAACCTTCTGCAGAGCTAGTTTTTTTGTTTTACTTCATTCAACAGAAGGGCCAATCAATTTGACAAGTCGTTCTGTAAGGCCTTGTTTCTTGGATTGAAGTGGTTTGTCAGGGGTGACTCTGTAATGATGGGAAACAAGTTAATTTCTACAAAATACCCCTTTGTGCCTTTTGAGAAGTCGGCTGGAGAGGCAGAGTGAAAATTAATTAATCTAATTATACATACAAGTGAGAAAATAAGTCACACCCATAATGGCAGCTTTTATTTGTTGGTTCCAAAACCTTTCGTTGACACAAACGGAGGGGGCCTGGAAAGGGGTGGCTTCCCAGTTAAAAGCCACTGCTTTTTAGAGTGGGTACAGGATACTCTCTCCACCTAACATTTGCAATAAAGTTATTATGGTGGTTAGACTAGTCCATTATGTCACTGCTGACACTTGTTCTCCCAGTCACTAAACAAGCAGTAAAATGGCCTTGTTTATGTGCATTGCGTTTTAGAGAGCTTGCTTTCCTCTCAATTGCTTCCTTTTTCTCTGGCATGACAGAAATTAACCCGCGACACAGGGTCTGAATATGAGAAAGATAGATGGAGGTAGAGCAAATACCAGAAATAACTTCAATAGCCCAGAATTAGCCATTCAAATGCCTTATAAGTCCTCTATTTTAACACTGAACATGTATGGGAAGCATGAAAGGTCAGCCATATTTCTCTGGACATAAACACTTCATGTTGATGGGGAGTACATGAAAAGTGCTGCTCTGTAGTATTCATAAAAAGTAGTTAAAGTGTAAAAATCTCTTCCCTACCACCATGTGAGGTAGCAGAGTTGGTAAAGACGGTGAGGTAGCTCAGTTGGTAAATTCCCTGACTACAAAGCCTCTTCAAACTCCCGGCAGGGTCAACTCAGCCCTTTATCATGCCGAGGTCGATAAAATGAGTACCATCAATTGGGTAATAACATCTAGTGCTGTTCAGCTGCCGATTTGGTTAATTCCGTGAGCGTGCGCTGAAAAGCGCTTTGAGTCCCACTGGGAGAAAGGCGCTATATAAATACTAGTTTTTATTATTTGAGATGGGGCAGTTCGGACATGTCAAGGCACTCCTGAGTGAACTCACAAATGTTATGCACCAGCCAATTCAGGTTACTCTGACACCAAGTTTATATGGTACCTGGCCAACTGACCAAGTCACGTATGCTCCATATATTTCTTTTAACGGCAATATAATATATAGAGAGCTCTGATATCCAGGTGTTTATTCGTAACGCTTAAAAGGAAAATTAAAATGTCTCCTTTTAGAACTGAAATATCAATTCATGCGCTCTTGATGAACTTGGTATTTGCTTGGACACAAATCAGGTATCCACATTTGCTGGCACACATATCCATTATACATTGGCTGAACAAGAAACATGCTGTCCTTCAGCATGTACAATTCAAATGCTGCAGTGGAATATCAAATAATTAACTACTTAGTATTCCTTTATTATATGAACTCTACATATGACAGCACTTTAACTGTCTGGTCAACATGAAGTGATAGCTGCCTAGGAAATATGGTGGAGCTGGCAACCGTTTCTTTATGCACACATGCTGGGTTTTATACAATAAATAGGAAATTGATGAGTACTATCATCGCAATAGTACATGTTATGCCAAACTTCCTGCCTGGCAAATGTAGAAACCCTGACACCTTCAAATTTGCAATCTCCTTATCAATTCTCCTTGACCTCTATGACACAGAACTCTTATCGGAGAAATTACTTGCAAAAGTAACCAGCTAAGAAGGCACGAAGAACAAGCACTTGGAGACATCAAATATTTAAGAAGCACCAAAATGCAATATCTGATTACTGATACATTCTTAAATGCAATCAGCTGGCAATAATTTAAGCTGATTCCATTAGCCTCCAGCACCTCAGGCTCACTATCTGCATAATACCCAACTAATTATGACTGACAGCAACAGACAAATCTGTTTTAGTCATGGCAGCAGCTGGTGTAGAGGCTTTTGTGATTCGTTAATGTCTACATATTGTTATTCTAGAGAAGGCCCAAGACCATGTTCAACTCACGTTCAAAAAAAGATCTATAAAAGAAAAAAGCACAAATTAATATTCTGGTGGAGTCACAAATTAAACAAAGATATATGGAAAAGATTAGTAACACAAGCCTTTGTCTTAACTGTGTGCAAAGAAATAATCACAAAAAATGAATTATCCATGTGGAATTGTCTCTGTCAAATTAGTTCCCACCATATATGCAAACTCATCCCCCTTTAATACTCCACTAGCTATATTTGTAAAAAAACAAAACAAAACAAAAAAAAAACACACAAGGATCTGATTTAAGGAAAAGCTGCCCAAGGCCACCTTTAAACATCTTTCAAAAACGGCGCTGACATTTCGCATTTTCTAGGAATAAGCTATTAATGTCCTGGGAGAGTTTTATTCTTTTGTCCAAACAATGCATGGAAAAAAATATATATAGTATGCTCACATATGTATGCATTGGGCTGTGATCTAGAACTGTGATCCTCTAAAGCTACCCCTGAAAACAACAGTGGACTTTATCTTATGTGGTTTATAGCCAGATGTCACAGGATGCAGACAGAGACACTAGTCAGATGTTTGACGCTTGCTTGCAAAAAGCACCATCGTCCAGGACAAAAGCACACAACTAAAAGAAAGCAAGCCATGTTTACTGTTTAAGATGGTCATAGACGACCACAGGCATTTTTCTGATTCTTGGGATTAGGGCTGAAATATCTTGGATAATTAGCAGGCTGTACTATAGTGAGGGTAGCTCACATTGCGCTGCAGCCATACACATATTAAAAACTATAGTTTGTTAGTTGAGAAGTGGCAGGATATGGTAACATTGTAATTACATCAAGCTTTGACCCAAAAGACTTTCTCCACCCTACCATGCAGCGTCAAAGTAGATCCAATATTATCTCATGTATATGTTCGAATTTCAGTAATATTCCAATCTACTTATGTTTCCCATAAAGATTCTCTCTCAGAACTGTCAGACGCTTTAAGATGATGAGTTGCAAACAGAAGCAAACTGATTTGAAGCAATAGTTGGGTCAGAAAAACATTCCTGCCACAAGTAGTATCCTGTGACGCAAGTATACATTAAAAACAATCTGTGCTTATATATTACAAACTTGTTACAGTAGGAGTACGCTCTTCCCCAGTGTAATGGAAGACCCTTTGACACTGTGGAGATTGTAAAGGTGCTGGATGGAATGTACGGTGTTACATATAGTACTGAAATTGTAGATTGGCATCGAGAGGGAGTCTCCAAGCTATTGTTATGCATAAAATTTGAACCACTGTCAAAAACGGTGAGTAGTCACCACTCTATATCCTATTTGAGACCCCCTAAAACGAATAAAGAACTTGTCAGTATTATGGAATCTAATAGTTTCATAGTAGCCTTCACATCGTCCGATATCTGGCCCCAATAAATGTTGCACCAGGGCCCTCACTACGTTAGCTCCACCACTGGAGGGAAACACCTTATTCCATTAAAAAAAATAGGGGTGGGGTTGATTAATATAGAAAAGTCAAGACAACTTTATGCTATAACAATTTGATAGGGTTTAAAGAGATACTCCAGACCCCTAAAGCACTTTAGCTTGCTTAAAACCTTACTTGTCAGAATGGTGGTGGGTCTTTATGTAGGCCTTACCCCGATGAGGTAATGGGAGAATGAAGATTTCCACTGTTCGTTTCCACAGCAATGAGGATAAGGCAATCTGCCTTGCAAAGACTTCTCATTGAGCTGCATTTGGAGTCTATGATTGGACAGTCACAGAAAGTCTGCGTTAGAAGGGGAGGGCTTGCAAGGGCTGCAGACAAGATATCTGCAGCTTTTGCAAACAGTTTTTAGATATAAGCTCAATGTAAAATGAATTATTAAATGTGTGCAGGTTTTCATTTGGTGTGTATCTACTAAACAGTGATTTTAATTTGTATTTGGTCAGTGGAGTGTCCCTTTAAGTTATCTTGGGTTTGCATCACAGTGACATTTGCAGAATGAAATGTTGCAAAAAGCACAATGGCAGGAACCAATCAAAATCTCAGGTTTGTTAAATAACCTTTGTAATTTGCTGTATGTCCACAGAGAAGCAATGGTTATATAGAAATTCTACAATTGCTCCATTTAAAAACACTCACTCAGAACATTTCTGATATGGCCACATGGTGGAACTGAAACCCCACATTTGTTTGCCGAGGTAAGGGATATTAAAGTAGCCTTGTAAAATGTGAAACTGTTTTTTTGTGTTCCTTAACCTGTATTTTAGAAAATTTCTGATGACAGATACAGTTTAACAAACTAACATTCTTCTATGAGCTAATATGATTTTTTAAAAAAGGTTTTACTATAATTACAAAAAAATGACAGTAAATGGCTCTCAAAATTTCTCAAAAATTATTTTGCATCTGCAAATGGACAATAAAAGTTAATACATCCTTGCAATGCTTTCTGAAGACACTCACTTGTTCATTTTTTTGTGTTGCAGATGATAATGTGCTCATCAAATGAACATCCATGCAGATTGCCGAGAGCCTAGGGACCAGGTGACACTATTGTTTATAGTTTCCTGGAGATCCCTTTAACAATTTGGAGAAATGATTAAAAAAAATACTGCAACTTATTCAGAAGCTCAATAATTTATCTGTGCCTCATAAATACGGTATCCCCACCCGTCGCTTAAATGTGAAAAATAATTGCCTTGCTTTAAGCCCAGAGCTACTAATTAATGTTAACATATTCAAAATGTGTTGCTGTGAAAGTGGGTGTAAAAAAAGAGCTTTGTGTATAATTACATATATACTGGTGTGTAGACACAAACAAATACACAAAATATGCAGCATATCTATCTATCTATCTGCAAGAGCCAATCTCCTGTTGTATGTACCACGAGCTGCACTTTCGGCTAAAATTAAAAAAACTGAATGAGGCGCACTCAAGGAATTTGTCAATTGTAAATACACCTTTGGATTAAAGGACCACTATAGGCACCCAGACCACTTCAGCTTAATGAAGTGGTCTGGGTGCCTGGTCCATCTAGGATTAACCCTTTCTGCTGTAAATATAGCAGTTTTCCTATGAGCCGGGCTTGCGCATTCAGCCGATGACATCAGAAAAGGGAGGAAAGTCCCAGCGCCGGGCCCGGCGCTGGAAAAAAGGTAAGAGATTAACCCCTTCCTCCCCCTTCAGCGCCACGGGAGTGGGACGAGTTTGTTTTCCTGGCAATATAGTGGTCCTTTAAGTAAGAATTTAGTGGGGGGTGGGAGGCAGCACCCAAGTGAGATGGTCGCACTCCCAGTGAGCTCTGGGCCATCGCCTAATTACAGAGCCTATTCAGCTACTCATGGGGATATTACTGACCTCAATCCGAACATGGTGCGACACTAAAAAAACCAAAACACAGAGCGGATCCTAGGCCCGGCTGCCAAGATATCGAGAGCTTATTCAGACAGCCACATCAACCAGCGCTTTCCAAGATAGCACCGACTGCGGCCTACTCCGCGGCTTCATCTGAGGCCGAGAATATACAGGAGGAAGATTTCCCTGCCACCACGCAGGTTTCACTGCCCATGATCACACAGCCTTCTGGGCTGGAGGATGCTGCTCTCTCGACAAAGGTGAATATAAAAGCCTTATTGCAAGACATCAAAGCTATGTTTTGAGCAAACATGGCTGTATTAAGGGAGGAAGTAGCCACGCTGACAGGCTGTGTCCAGGCTTGGAAGGAGAGCTAAAAGGTACACAATTAGCACAATCTGCCACAGATGAAGCGCTCCATAACCTTCAAAAGAAATGTAGTGAATTGGCCCTACGGCTGGCAAGTCTGTCTCACCAGAAGAAATGCCACACTGCATACAGCGTTTGCTATCCACACTGCTGTCGCCAACGCCAGCCAACCAAGCTGCTGCTGAGGCCCTAGTGATGTGTTCCTACAATTTCAAAGGGACTCTGGCTAGTCTGCAGTTTTGGGAGCCACAAGAGTATCTCCCTCACTGTCTTTTGAGGGTTTACAGTTGTCGTTTTAACCATGCAATGGAGGCAATCACTTCTCTCAAGCTACAAAGAGAGGCTTAAATTGCATACAGATGGTGTTCACACTGCCTATTGGCAGAGAAAGACGGCAAGAAGTTCCCACTTATGCAGCTTCAAAAACGCACCTGCCCTTCTTCAAGCATTGGCAGTTCCAGCTGAAACTGTCCCAGGGAGAGCCATGGTTGGGTCGGCGGATCCTCCGGCTGTAAACTGTCTGAACTTATTTTTTGTATCCTTTTTATTTTACTAGACAGCTTTTGAGTTATTTATTTCCACAATTTTTAAGCCCCATTTTATTATCACCTCTGGTTTTGTAAGCAACTCTAATTAGCTTCTGCTCTGCCATTATTTTCCCCTCATACATGACTATTTATTTATAAAATATTTTACCAGGATGGATACATTGAGATTTCTCTCATTTTCAAGTATGTCCTGGGTCCACAAAACATGCATTGTTACAATAGGGTACAATATTACAAAAATACAATATACAAACTATAATATATATACACATACACACATATATAAATTTAATACATAACAGATAATAAATATATTCAACCATTACAGGTGCATTCTGTATTGAGGTATATTGCCATAGATCTCTTAAAAGATTTTAGATTAAATGAAGATTTGACTGTGTCCCTGAGGTTATTCCATAATTGCGGTGCTCTGTAGGAAAATATGGATCGAGTCACTTTATTTTTGTATTGCCGTATGCTAAATATCGTACTGGTACTGGATCGCAGGTTATAGGAGGTGGGAACAGCCGGGGAGAGCATTCGACTCAGGTAGGGTGGGAGCTTTCCAGAAACGCTCTTATGCACAAGGCTAGAAAGATGAAGGGTGCATTGGGATTCCAGCGATAGCCAGTTTAGTTCTTTTAATATGTCACAATGGTGGGTCAAGTAATTACATTCTAGTACAAAGCGGCAGAATGAATTATCTAATGTTTTAAGTTTATTAAGGTGGGTTTGCAGTGCGGGTGCATACACAACATCCCGACAATCAATGACCGGCATTAGCATTTGCTGCACTATCTATCTGTTTCCTTACTGTAGGGCTTAGGCAGGATTTGTTTCTGTACAGTGCACCTACTTTTGAGTAAAGTTTTGAAGAAATCTTTTCAATGTGAAGGCCAAAGGATAGATTGGGGTCTAGCAACATACCTAGATATTTAAAAGAGCAGACTGCTGTCAGTGTGCTATTTAAATTTGATACACAGTTGTGGATTTTGCAGTTGATGTAATTTAGGTACAGTTCCAAAGATCATTGTGACAGTTTTGTCAGTGTTTAGGAATAGTTTGTTATCTGCTATCCACCTTTTTACCTCTGTGAATTGGTTTTGGAGCACAGCCTCAAGCTGTGGTAGCTTGGGTTTACTAGCGTAGATTACAGTGTCGTCTGCATACATGTGTACAGTTGATGATTTGCAGACGTTAGGCAGATCATTTATAACTAATGTGAATAGCAGGGTGCAGAGTATGGAGCCTTGGGGAGCACCACACGTGACTGGAAGAGGGAGGGAAGCCCTATCAGATATATAGCCACATACAGGGCCGTCTTTAATATTGATTGAGACTTAGGAAAGCATTTGATTGGGCACCCTGGACCCCTTTCTCCCTCCTCCGTAAAATGCAATCATGCTCCTTCATTCCCCAACGCATTGGCGGAACTAAAGTAGGAGAAGGGAGCTGACAGGAGCTGAAGGAAAGGTAAGTTACAGCTCTCTGCCAGCCCCCCTCCTACACAGCCCATCCACTGGACCACTAGGGAATGAGAGCACCCCTCCCTGGCAGGGAGGGGGGGACAAAAAAATAATTTAATAAATAAATAAAAAATATTACAATAAAAAATATTAATAATATAATAAATAAATAAATAATTTAGAAAAAATATAAAAATGCCCACCCCCCACCAAGGCTCTGCATCACATACACAAACACACACTGCACTCATACACACACACACTGCATTCATACAAACACACTGCATTATATACACACACACACACACACACTGCATTCATTATATACACACACTGTAAATAAATATTCAATTAATATAATTTTTGGGGATCTAATTTTATTTAAAAATTTACCAGTAGCTGCTGCATTTCCCACCCTAGTCTTATACTCGAGTCAATAAGTTTTCCCAGTTTTTTGGGGTAAGTTTAGGGGTCTCGACTTATATTCGGGTCAACTTATACGCGAGTATATACGGTACCTATCTGTCGTGCAACTCCAACAATGCTTTGACAGCTGGGGCTCTACCATTTTCCCATGCTTGCAGGATTGCATTTAGCACTGAACAGTGTTTGTGTGTTTGAATGTAAGCATGTTTTTGTATGGAGTATGTTTGTGTGTATGTAGGGGTGTGTTTTTATGTATTCTGTTTGTTTTTGTAATGCAGAGGTGTGTTTTTACATTATTTTGGTGTGCTTGTATGTAGTGTTGATGTTTCAATGCAGGAGTGTGTTTGTATGTAGTGTTGAAGTTTGATTGCAGGGGTGTACTTGTGTTTAGTGTTTGCATTTTGAATGTATGAGATGTATGCACATGTACACATACACTGCCACACACACACTGTGATACACATACACACATAGATAAACACACACTGAAATACATGCAGATACACAGATAAACACACTGGCGCCCACACGCAAATACAGACTGACACAGATACACAACCTGACACACACACGCAGACACCTTTCAGTTTCGACCTTTTGGATACAGGAAGGTGGCTTTCCTGGGGTCCAGTGGCAGGCTGAGGTAGTTGGGAGTGAGATCCTCCACGTGGCTTCACTCTCTCAGGGATGAAGTGACTCACAGCTGTCACTTCCTCTCAGCCAGTTGGTGTTAAACAAGGTTGTGCTGTTAAAGGGCCACAGCGCCTGGCAGGGCCCCTGCTGACAAAAGCCCATCGGGTGGCCCCAAGTTCATGGGCCACCGGATAAGCCCCCTTAGTGTGTGGGCCCCTGGTGCAAACGCAGCATTGGCAAGCCCATGGGGCAAATAAATATTTTTTTTGCGGGAAGCAGGGCCCATGGGGCACCTGCTTTGGGCCCCCAGGTGTAATTGGGCCCGGGGCAGCTGCCCTGTTCGCCCCACGTTAAAGACGGCCCTGGCCACATATTGCAATCGGTCTGAAACATACGATCGAAACCAGGTTAACGGACGATCACCAATGCCTGAGTTTTCAAGTTTTTGCAAAAAAATGCCATGGTCTACTGTGTCAAATGCCTTGCCGAATTCTACATATCTGTCCAGTTTTCTATGCAAACCCATGGTACACATTAAGCACAGCATAAGTCCTCACAATGTTATCTGACAGTGCAGTGTCTTGAATGCGGAGGATGTATTGTTTTAAGTTTCATTTTGTGTTTTTTTATTTCTAAACCTCACGGAGCGTAAATTTACTTGATATTTTGGTTGTCACGTACTTATGGCTTCTATTCTGATATACATGTCGCTTGTATTACATTGTGTCTGCTTAAAGGAACACTATAGGGTCAGGAACACAAACATGTATTCCTGACCCTATAGTGTTAAAACCACCATCTAGCCCCCCTGGGTCCCTCATGACTCCCTAAATATAGCAAAGTTTTACTTTTATTCAAAAAGTAAGCTCTGCATTCTGTTTGCCTCAGAATAGCAAGTTGGCCTGATCCAATCACAGTACGTCTCCATAGGATTGCCTGAGACTGACATGGAGGCAGATCAGGGACAGAGCCAGCATGATTCAAACACAGCCCTGGCCAATCAGCATCTCCTCATAGAGATGAATTGAATCAATGAATCTATATGAGGAAAGTTCAGTGTCTGCATGCATAGGGAGGAGACACTGAATGTTTGGATGCATTTTAGGCAGCCATGACCCAAGAAGGATCTCTAACAGCCATCTGAGGAGTGGCCAGTGAAGTTATCACTAGGCTGTAATGTAAACACTGCATTTTCTCTGAAAAGACAAAGGTAATGATTCTACTCACCAGAACAAATTCAATAAGCTGTAGTTGTTCTGGTGACTATAGTGTCCCTTTAAGGCTATTTGGTGCCATTACACTGCTTTAATATGTGCTATATGAACAAAAAGAATTTAAAGAAAATTTAAGAAGAATTTAATTGATTTACAAATTCCTTGAGTGTGCCTCATTCTGTTGCCTGTGTATATATTATAAGAAAAAACAAAGCATAACAAAACCATGAAAAACAGAAGTTGGAAGAGCAGGAAATGATTTTTTTACACTCTCCTTGTATATAGTACATAATCTCTAACAAGCTGTAAGGTCACATTCATTATTATACTATCTAGCATGCGTAAGAGTGCAAAGTGGGTTTCTATGGAGGGGTACGCGAAACTTTCTATAGAAAAAAGCACGCACTACGTAATTAGGTGCCATAGGCTTCTATTGCACATCCCACTAGAGGATACCTGTTCTTAACAACCGTTGTGACCAATGGCTAATGGGAAATGGTGGTGGAAACTCTACATTTGCCAAAAATTGCAAAATACACGAGACAAAGTCAATGCTCTATCTCGTGTAGATCTACTGATTGCATTGAAATTTCAAAGCAATTATAATAGTCGATAGGAGTTTTGTTCCCTGTTTGAAACGACCTCTAGCCCACTCCCTCCTCTACACCCATCCCTCTGGTCTTTTCTTTTATTTATAGAGCAAGATTCAAAACCGGCTATCAATCATCAATCATCCATCTTTATTGCCTGCAGGCTGCTAGACAGTAAATCAACATTCCTCATGTCACTGTTCCTCTACTCACACCTTCCTTAGATGACTAAACCCAAACCCTCAGTGTGACTACTCTGGATCCTCCTTCACTATTCCTTGTCAATGAATCCTCTTGTTCATAAGCTCCAAAGCAGCAGTGACTTAATTAGCAGAGGCAACTTTGAAGGTATTGATACCTTATCTAAGTTTTATTAACATATCGAATGCCATTTTTCCATATTTTAATGCACTGTCTTTATAACGTTGTCACTTTCACCCTGGAATGCCTCTGCTAGTTCTGGTTAGGACACGTAGTATCACTGTAAAGATAATTATACTGTCATACTTCCATACTTGGCACTGAGGAATATTCAGAAATTCACTTGACAGTACCCTTGTCACATCACATACTTTCCTCCCAGATCAAAAGCCTAGGTAAGTCATATCAATGCTATATAGACTTACCGGTATGATATGTCGCTGAGCATTGTCGAGTCACAGGCACACAGGCATAAAGGGTCATTTACTTAACTCAGGTTTTACAAAAATAGACAAAATCCAGTTAAAGTTTTTTTCTGGTTGGAAACTGGCCAGCCTAACCGAATCGGCACCAGTCAGTAGGATACATTCAGTGTACAGATTAAAATCAGTGCTTTTATAAAGTATAGGATTCTGAATTTGCTTGGGCTTGCTTTAAACACTTGGGCATGCGAACGGGAATTTCGTCTATTTATTAATTTGTCAGAAAGACGAATGAATGAATAGAAATTGCAAACGAACAAACAAACACTGAATATAAATACCTGCTCGCAGCTACCTCCTTGTAATATGTAAAGATAGAATCGGCAGGGAGCAGTGCTCCCCGCCACTTCCTAAGCCCCTCCATGTCCTCCCTCACTCTATGTGGGTCAATACGATCCCCATAACAGCATAAGGGAGATTAAAATCTCCTGAATGCCCCTACGCGCTATACCGCGAGTAGGGGCATGTCTACTAAACAGTGAGCAGCCTGTAGCTGCTCATTGTTAAAAAAAAAACCCTAGAAGCCCTAAGGTTGGGGCCCTAAATAAGAATGTGGGGGGGCCTACTGTCCTCCTCCCGGCCCCCACCCCTGAGCGGTGGGTGGGGGCCGTACAGGAAAATGAGGGGGGAAACCTACTGTCCTCCCCCCGGCCCCAACCCCTGCGTGGTGGGTGGGGTCCATAAATCACAATGGGTGGGAGGGACCTACTGTCCTCCCCCCACCTCTGCACAGTGGTTGGGGGCCATAAAGGACAATGGGGGGAGGCCTACTGTCCTCTCCCTCAACCCCCACCCCTGCGCGGTGGATGGGGGCCATAAATCACAATGGGGGGGACCTACTGTCCTCCCCCTGGCCCCCACCCCTGAGTGGTGGGTGGGGGCCATAAATCCCAACTGGGGGGGGGGCCTACTGTCCTGAGCGGTGGGTGGGGGGCCATACAGGAAAATGAGCTGGTGGGGGATACTGTCCTCCCCCCCGCACCCACCCCTGAAATCCATCCGATCAGAGTGTTATGAGTCAAATTACACAGCGTGGGAAAGTTCTTTGAAATTTTCCCAAGCTGTGTAAAATGACAAAGAGCACTCTGATTGGCTTAAACCAACCAATCAGAGTATTCTTAGCCTAATTACAGGGCGGGGCAAGGCTTTATAGGCAAGGCCTTCCCCCACCCTGCAGAGCTCACACTGCGCGGAGCCCTATATGGGTGAAGATAGATTCATTTTCTTTTTCGTCTGGTTTTTTTTTTCGCTCGGGTTTATTTTATTTATTTTAAGTTCGACGGGTATTATGGTTTTTTTATTTGGCCTATTTTGGGGCTGAAAAATTAAGATTTTAGAAGAAAGAAGACATCAAATGGTAAGTTTTCTGTTTCTTTACAGGTTAGTTATTTTATTCCCCTCCTCACTATTATTAGGGTGAGAGGGTAAGTAGGGGATAGTTTTTATTTGGGTGGGGGGGGAGTGACTAGGGGCTTGGGGACCCCTAGTCGCCTTTGAAGGAGGGGGGGGGAGATTTGTCGTTTAGGGTCAGGGGGGAAGACAGTAGGTCCCACCCTCATTATCTTTATGGCCCCCACCCAGCGCTCAGGTCCCCCCCTCCCCTGGGTACTAGGGCTCTTTTGGTTTTATTAACAGTGAGCAGCTACTGGCTGCTCACTGTTTACTAGACATGCCCCTACTCGCGATATAGCGAGTAGGGGCTGAATTTACTAATACTAAACTTTACTTCGTATTAGTAAATGTGACTGAAAGACCAATTGAGGTCTTTCAGCCTTTTGGTAGATAGCTCCCTAATACCATGGGAATGAGGGAGTTATCTACTAAGCGGCTGCAAGATGCAGCCACGGCAATTAATAGGATCTGAGTTTCATTCATTCGAATGAAATTCCGATATGAACAAACTCCCAAATTGCGTCCTAACACGAATGGAAAAACTGTTCTCATTCTGTTTGGATGCAATTCGGCAGTTCTGCCGATGTTCTGTCTAAGTGACAGGACATTCGGCAATACTGACAGGAAGCATCGTGGGAACAGGGAGGAAAGCCAAGGATTGTGGGAAAATTGCTCTGACCACTGGAAACGAAGCACACTTTGCTCCTTGACTGGTCATGGTGTAGGAAACCTCCAGAAGAGAAATAGTCCCTACTTTGTCTTATATTTTAAAGAAAACTAGAGCAGACAGGAAGAAATGAAAAACAGATCCTGAGAGAGGGAGAGACGAGGAATCGATTGGGGAAAGGTAAGTTCGGCATAACAGTGCCACTTTAAAGGACCACTCTAGGCACCCAGACCACTTCAGCTTAATGAAGTGGTCTGGGTGCCAGGTCCTTCTAGGGTTAACCCATTTTTTCATAATTATAGCAGTTTCAGAGAAACTGCTATAATTATGAATGGGTTAAGCCTTCCCCCTAATCCTCTAGTGGCTGTCTCATTGACAGCCACTAGAGGCGCTTGCGTGCTTCTCACTGTGATTTTCAAAGTGAGAGCACGCCAGCGTCCATAGGAAAGCATTGTAAATGCTTTCCTATGAGACTGCTTGAATCTTGTAGCAGCGCAGTCAAGCGCATTCAGCCAGCGGGAAGGCACGGAGGAGGAGAGAAGGAGAAGAGCTCTCCGCCCAGCGCTGGAAAAAGGTAAGTTTTTAACCCTTTCCCCCTTCCAGAGCCGGGCGGGAGGGGGTCCCTGAGGGTGGGGGCACCCTCAGGGCACTATAGTGCCAGGAAAACGAGTATGTTTTCCTGGCACTATAGTGGTCCTTTAAACATGTGGCAGCAGTCCAGCACTTCTGGGAAATATGTCCCCCATATTACTATAAGGGAGGTTGTAGACCTTATGCCCCTACCTACCATGTGAGGAGGTATATCTACTAAATACTAAACAAGTGTGGAGTGTAAAATAATTCGGTGGGGGACCTACTCCCTCCCGTAAAGTGGGGAACTGTAAATTAAATAATGGTGAGGTGAACAGACCACTGCCCCCTCCCCCTCAAATCCCCACCTATGTACAGCAGCTGGGGGTTCTAATAAATATATAAAGGGGGTGGGGTGACATGCTATTGACCACCCCCCAAGCCATCCCACATTTACAAAAAAGTTCCCTACCTACTCCCCTCTGCCTTATATTAGAAGACATTTTTTAATGTAGCGTCTGGTTACCAAGCACTAGCCAGGTCACAATAAGCCATTGCACTGCCGAGAGTTATCTAACTATTTGGCAGTGGGCCTGGATTTGAAGTATCCAGGCCCGGACTTCAGCCTTCTGGAAGCATTCTGTCCAGCTTAAATCCAGACTATATTCATGCTCATTCGTAGCCTGCTCTTCTAAATTGTGACATTGTTAAATAGCATAAAAGCTTTAATGAAATTAACATAACTCCATAGCTCCAAATATTGGAAGGTATGCAACTAGGACGGGAAGAGGGGAAGGCCCACCCTCTGAAGGGGCGTGTCAGCCTGTCAGACCGGCACATTACCAATAAGTCAATGCAGAGAGCGCTGCTGAAGTAGGACTAATGGAATGCATGGAACTCCTACTGCAACCTCAAACACCATTCACTGCAGTAATTTTTAAAGTTAGTTTATTATTGTAATTGATCTTTTGATTCCGAATAGATCCCTACAACATAGGGTTTATGTATAAAGTAATTCCGGAGCAAAGTTACACAGGTGGAACAATCAGCAGGAACATTGACTGCTCTACATTAGATCAAAGAACTCATTATATATACCCCAATGTTCCAACATCTAATGGAAAGCCATCCTAAAAGATTGTAGTTTCATAACAGTGGAAGACTGATTCCATGTTTATGGAAACAATTCAGAGGGATAACTGAGAAGCAGGTGTACACACCTGTTTGACCATATATTTGCATATATATATATATATATATATATATATATATATATAATACATGTGTACTGAATCAATTCCTCGAAAAAGCTCTCCCATGTGCAAAACAAGAGATTAGTCACGCTTTGCAATATCCAGGTCAGGTGTTCAGGGAGCTAGAAACTTTAAAACCATCCATCAACCAGGATCAGCAGTAATGATGTCTTCAAAGAGTGACTCACATAGATACTGAATTGAATGCAGTATTTACAGCATATTAATGCTAACACTAAATTCTAAGGAATTTTAAAAAAGGATGGGATGTAGACCTCTTACTATATAAACCATCATAAGAAACCAGTCGTGAGAAAAATGTATAGGAAGTAAATATAAATATATATACATATATGTTGCAGCTCTATAAACCTAATGGTTATTTAATTTGAATACACACAAAGTGCAATTTTACAGGCAATAACATTCAATCTATAAACTAGGATAGACCGATTGTTGGTTCCGCTGATTATTAGAGACGATATTCAGCATATTACTGATAATCAGTATTGGCTTTGTAATTTACAGATAACTTACTCACCTTTCCATTCACCATATGTTGTCTTCTGCATCCAGAGTATGAGATATTATACTCTTAGACCTACTCACACGGTTCACATAGTCAAGTTTATTTATTTCTTACAGCCATTTGTGAAGAACAAACCCGATTAGGTAGTGGTTTCTTCACCTGTTATTCTGCACTTACACTTTTTGATTGCATGTAGAGTGCGCCACCCACTGTTTTTTCTGTGTTTTGCATACTGTAAGTGAGTGGTTGCTTCTGGGGTTGAGTGTGTGTATGCAGATCTTCAGTGGTATTGTGTGTGGGGACTGTGTGCATTATTTGTATAAGGAGGGAGGTTTATTCTGCAGCTATGTGTATTTCTAGCAGTGTAAGTTGCTTCCCTTGGGTGCAGTGGGGACCGGAATAGCCAGGTACAGGTCAAGGGCAGGAGCTGTGATAGCTGCTGAGGGCTGCTTTACTGCAGTGCAGATTCCCATTTATAAGTGAGGTGAAAAAGTGATCTGAGATCACTTCCTCTACTGCAATGCGAAAATTGAGGATTGCTTTTCACCACCTGCAATCACCACTCAGCACTAGCAGATATCTGAAATCTCACTGGGCCAGAGCTTGTTTGGCTCTGGCAGACTTGAGAACTGTGCAAGGGCACCATGAGTGCCAGGCATGGCATATGTGCTGTAGATTGCTGACCCCTTGCCTATACCACCTGAAGACAAAAACTTTTGAAATAACACATTAGGAGGTTCTAACAGCCATATCGGTCTTACAGGGGAATAAGGCCCCAGATGGTTTTTTTTCGGTTCATACTACAAAGTTTTCAGGGACGAGTTCGCCCCCCATATGATCTTAATGCGGCCATGAGGGGAAGCCAGTTGTCCCATGAAATGACGTTGGCAAATGTCATTCTAGTACCAAATAATGGAAGACAGGCCACTGTGTAGTAATTATGGACCCAAATGATTACTCAATACTGATGCAAAAGTGTTACTAAAGGTGCCAGCTATCTGGCCTTAACCCAGTATTACCAAAATGAATACAGATCAGGTGGGGTTTTTCCTCTCACCAACAATTATACGACAATACCAGAAGAGTGATAGATTTGGCCTGGAGAATTAGAAAGATACAGATGCCTTCTCTGTTTCTTTCCTTGGATGCATGAAACGAACTTGACAGGGAAACATGGCCATATCCGTTTGGCCTGATGGAGGCGTGGGGCTTTCCTCCCCATTTTTAGAAGATATCAGAGCTTTTTCAACGGGGCTAACGGCACAACTAGCCATCCCTGGGGCACTAGCAGGATAAGGCAGGGGTGCATTTTATCTTCCTTGTTGTTCACCATTTCACTGGATCATCTCCTCTATCTGAGGGAAACCCAAGTAATAGAAGGGATAGAAGAAGGGGTAAGTTTTTTTTGTTTTTTTTGAATAGTGGTGTATACCAATGATGTTCTTCCGATCCTTGCAAATTCTACATCTTCCATACCGCTTTTTACACTACTCAGACTTTGCCTCCCTCTCTGAATATCGGATTAACATAGACAAATCCCACGCAATGCCTAGGAACCAGTTGCCACTGACACGGACAAATAAAGTCAATGTATAAGTTCCAGTTTAAATCATCTTTTTGGTATTTGGGCATTCAAATTATTCAGTATTGTTCCAAAAACTCGGGGGAGACCTGGAGAAGAGACTGATCTTGTGGGTTGGAAGAAGGCATAATATCAAAATGAATGTACTGCCGAGGTTGCTCTTCCTGTTCCAGGCTCTCCAGGTCCGAGTTACAAAGCGGGACCTTGAGCTATAAATTTATTTATGTTGGGCAACAAGCAGCACAGACTGGCAAGGAATTTGCTCTACAAATCAAAATTGACAGATGGGTTGGACTCCCATGCTTACTGATGTACTGCTACTTAGCTCCACTGGCAAGATAATGTGGCATGCTCCACCAGGGGAGAGAAGATGGGCAGACCTTGAATCCTATTTAACGTGTTCCGAGCTCCCTAAGTTCTACACGTGGCCAAACAAACCCCAGAGGGCATTACTCTGGACAACTTGCCCAGCCATACATCTGTATCAATTTGGGATAAAATATAAAATTCCAATTACCCTCCAATCCTTCCCCAATGACCACAGTCCAAAGGAATGTGCCCTTAAAATTTTAAGAACTTACATTACAATTACAGGTATACAACATTGTGGTCACTTATGGTGTCAATCCTCAGTACTTAATTACGTTGCCTTGAAGGAGAAAGTCCCACTAAACAATAATTGCTTGATAAACTCTATAAATGCCTCTGTGTAGGCTGAAACGTTGCAATTTTTGTTCCAATAAACCGGCCTTCTTGCAGCAATCCTGAGTGCCCAGACCTCATTTATTTTATCCACAAAACAATAGAGACTTTTTTTTTTTGCTATATACAAATTTGTGATTTTGCACATCAGACTGGTGTGCGGAAAGCGACAGAGCAGTCTTCTACACTCTTCTAAATACTTAAGATACTTTCAGGCAAATATCAACCAGGCTTAGTGTCACAGATATGCAATTACATATGCTCTCACTCTACCATTTGTGGACCAATAAGGTATATTTCCCAGGGAGAGCAAGATCCAGGAGGGTGAATGGGAGGCTGCTACCAGGGTCTCCATATGTGTAACTGCCAAGGAACAGATGTATAACACTTTTTTTCCGCCAATACACTACTCCTGTTCAACTGTATAGAATGGGAAAATCCCCATTGATGATTTCTGGAGATTATGTGGACAAAGTGGTGGACCTGTCCAAAAATAACTCCATTCTTGGAAGGTGTTATAGATCTTTTGACCGACGTATTCCGTAGGACATTTGATTCAGAACCTCTGGAAGAAAAATCTCAGAAACGGTTTAATAAAATAACCTTAGTAGTGAGGAGTGCTCTGGTGACATCTTGATTGGTAGTATCAACCCCCACAAGGGAGGAAGAAAGATCTAAAATAGCTGAAAATTATCTCATGGAACAGCTAACAGTCATGGTACACAATACACTACCATCCTTTTACAAAAAATGGGATCCTTGGTGGGAATTCGTTTTTACAAAATAACTTGGTTGGTTGTTAAGGAACAGAAAATGGTCTCATTACAGTGTTCCCCACCCTATCCCAGCCCTCCCTTATTTGCCATAATTATTTTTTCTTTATCTTCTCATGTTCATAATTGTGAATGCTACATTTTACCTTAACTGTCAAAAATAAAACTAGAGACAGACAATCTATATGCTTGCCAATGACACTGAATGTGTAATGCTACTGTCTCTAAAATAAAGAACTAAAAAAAAAAAAAAAATGAACCCACAACTCTTTGCCCTTCTCCTAGATATCTCCATCAATCCTGGTTTCAAGTTTGTCTTTTGCATCTCACTCATCATAGAAAGAAGAGAAGAAAATTATATTATGTTTCTTTTTCTCCTCCTCATTTGCATCGTGGGCCCTGGCTGTGCCTGGACTTAAAATTGTGATTATTTGCTAAATATGTAATACAAATTTGTGATATTATTTGCTAAATATGTAATACAAATTTAAAAAAGAGAATCACATGGTAAAAAACAACCAACCAACCCAAGATTCCTGCAATTTCATGTATTTATTTAGTAATGCAATTTCCAATGAAGTGAAGGTAATCACCGGTTCCTTAGGTAACTTCTTGTGCTTACAGACAACATGTTGGGAGTGTTACACCATCCTTGTCTGCCATGTTGCCCAGACATAAATAAGCAGCTAACCAAAAATAAGAGGCTTAGGACTTTCTATCTTAGACAGCAAATAGAGTGCTCAGGTATGCTGAGCTGGACATTTTCTAGATAGAGGGATGGATATAATCTTTTAGAGCAATTAATAAATCCTTTTACAGGATTTAGGGGGATTGAAAAATCTTCTGCTTGGCTATTGGTTAAATCAGGATTCAAGTGTTCAAAAGAGAATTAGGTATGACTGTTGGCAAATGTCTTGATGAAATGATTAGCAGAGATCTAGTTAAAAATAACCCAAAACAGAAGCCTCAGGATGGCACTAAGTATTCTGTGATTTTATTTTGTGAATTCACCTCAAGCTTGGGAAAGTCCAATGAAAACACATTACAATTTGACAAAGCATCATTCTATACAAGAAAATAGACAGAGTGTATTGACTAAAAAGAGAGAATTTCAAGCAATTTCGATATTAATTTTTTTTAATTGCCTTATCAATTCTCCAAATTCCCAGCTAAGTTAATAAACCACATACTGGAATCTGTTCAAAATATACAACAATATGGCCAAAGAGAATTCCCTGGGTGCAGAGAGAGGGTCTGTTTTTACTAATGTATTCCATTAGTAATTGCCTGCATGTATTACTGCCATTGAACCTGCAAATTAGAATCAATATATTATTTAGCAACCGAGCTACTTTGTCCCACTCAACATTTTAGTTTTGCAAGCCTGCAATATTGGGCTAAAATCAGTTTAAACGACAGTATGTACAAATTATATGCATGCCGTCAGTCTGGTGATCCGGTAATTTTATAACCCGACATTCAAGTGTAATATAAAAAAAATAATAATAAATCCTGCAAAACCTTGGGCTTTTGCCTCAAACTATAAAACTCAAGGGAATTTTTTTCTCCTTCTCAAATGGTGTCCCCTATAGCTTTATATAAATTTTTTATGTGTTTTCAGAAATGTCACTTAGATTCCCTATTCGCTTACTGTGAATTTATCGGTGTTCTTCTCATATCACATGATGTATGTTTTATTAACTTGACTTGTTCTTTATACTTTGTTATAATTAATGCATTTTTTATGCTTGATGCTCAATAAAATAATTGAAAGAACAAAAAATAAAAAATAAACTTTTATTAGACTCATTCCAAAGTCATGGGGTCTACTCTCTACTACAGTACTTTTGGGAATGCAGTACTGACACAGAAATGTACGAATTGTGGACAGTTGCCTGTGGTTTAAAAACACTCCAAGCACCATAGCCACTACAGCCTACTACAGTGGTTGCAGTGCCTGGAATGCCCTGGTGAGACCCAGGTAAGTTGTCAAATCATTCCTAAAGCTTGCTCCTCAGTACTAATGCCCGGATAAGCGGAGTTACAAAACACATCTATAATTAGACCTCTGCATTTGGCTTATTAGAGGTTAACTGAGGACAGAGGAGACCTGCAGCCCTAGGCAGATGAGAGCCCTAAGCATTTCTTAATAATAATCTACCTGTTTTATTAAAGATGAGTTGTGACTATAAATAGAAACAAATGAGTGAATCAGTCTTCCTTTTACCATTAAAATAAAAAAGTAGTATTATTTTAGGTGTTGATACATTTTAAATTTGTTTTTGTGTTTTATTCTTCCCCTTTTCCTTCTAGATAATAATGTTTGGACATGTAGGGTGTTCTGGCTATTATCACACTATAAATATAATCATCAAAGACTTTAGTTACAACTTCAGACACCTGCTAGTGCAAACCGAGTGGTGGTTGCAGGTGATGAGGGACAATCCTCAAATAACGCATTGCAGCACAAAGAGGAAGTCATCTCAGATCGCTTCCTCCCAGCTCTTATGAATGGGAACTTGCACTGGAATAGAGCAGCCTGCAGCAGCTATCACAGCTCCTGCCCTTGACCTGTTCCTTGCCATACAGGTCCCACCTGGACCCCAGGAAAGCCATCCACACTGCTAGATATACACAGAGCTGCCGAAGAAGCCTTCCACTCATACAAATAATACAAACAGCCCACACATACATGGTTCCCACAAACACAACACCACTGACAATCCACATACAAGCACACAACCCCACAAGCAGCCTCTCACACACACACAATCAGCCCCCATACACAGCCCACATTCATAAGTATCATACACAATACCACAAACTAGTCATGAACATATACAGTATAACAGCCCACATACACACAAATACAACATTACAACTGCCGCACCGATAAATAACACAATCAATATATGGCAATATACACACACAACAATAAAAAAAAAAAAAAAAGAAACGCAGGCCAAGGAACGTAAAGATCTTGTTTTGGCACTGTACTACAAAAAGGTTAACTACCCCTGCCCTATATAATATATTGCCATCATAGTCTGGCTGGAATGTTGTCGCCACCCTTACTCAAAGTAATGGAAATCTTACCATTGTCCTACAAGTTTCAATTCTTATGTGTCTTTCATTCTGAAACAAAACAAAAAATTGTAGCATCTTTAAAGTGTTTTCTATATTACATTTTACATTCTATCTACTCATGTTAACTCGCTCTTACAAACACCCAAAACAAAGTTAAAGGGAATCTATAGGCTAGGAATACAAAATTGTAATCCTAGCCCAGGGCTTGACAAATCCCAGGCGCCGGTCGTAATGGCGTCTAGGAATTTTGCCTTTGCGTCTGGCATATGTGAGCCCATTATTTCGGAGGAGGGGGCAGGCTGGAGGATTGTGTAGTCAGTCAGCATGCTGGGGGATCATGGAGGCTGCACGTATTGTTATTGGGGGAGCTGTGATCTCCCTGCTCTGCTCCCTCGCGTGCAGCTTTGTGGGGCTGGAATATGATGTCACAAGCTTGATGATCTCAGGCAATCATAGGAAAGTAATGGGATGCTATTGTGAATGTGCTGCACCAATCAGCATCTCATTTAATTAATGCATCTCTATAGGGAACATTTAGCACCTCCATGCATGGTGTGGAGACTTTGAATATAGGTCCTGCACTACTAGTGGCCATCTGAGTGACTGCCACCGGGGGTGTCCCTGGGAAGCAATGTGAACACTGCCTTTTATTTGAAAGGGCAGTGTTTACATTGAAAAGTCTGTAGGGACAGGCTATAGACATCAGAACCTCAACATTAAGTTGTAGTGATCCTGGTGACTATAGTGTCTCTAAGAATTGTATTTTGAATACAATTATCATGGACTATAAAGTTTTGTAAGTTTAAAAAAAAACAAAAACCTGGCTCCTTACTTTTTTAGCTGGCTCCTAGATTCAAAGCAAATTTGTCAAGCCCTGTCCTAGCCTATAGTGCTTGTGCCCCATCCGTAGTGTTGCAAGGGTTAAAAACCTTTTTGTCAATTACCTGAATCCAACGACGATGTCCCTCGGCACTGGGTCAGGCTCTGCCCTCGCTTCTCCTCCCCTGCTGTGCGCAAGAGTGGCAGTCACTGCAATTGCATTAGGACAACCCCATAGGAAAGCATTGAATCAATGCTTTCCTATGGGCTTTTAGCTGACATTGGATGTCCACATGCATAGCGTGATAACACCCAGCGTCAGGCTACCAAAAGTCGCCTAACGACCCGAAAGCACCTCTAGTGTCTGTCTGGTAAGCAGCCACTAGAGGTGGAGTTAACCCTGCAATCTAATTATAGCAGTTTATTAATGAGCTTAAATGATCTGGGTGAGTATATTGTCCCTTTATAGCATGTCTCCATACATCTAAAGCACTGTAGCTTGCTGAAGTGCTTTATATGTGAAGAAGTGTGTCTTCGTTTTCATTCTTGAGAAAGTGCAGTTTTCAATCGAAATTAGCACTTTTAAAAATTGATCCTCGGCTGTCGGTCTGACGACTGATCCTTTTGCTTCCTGGCAGACAAGAGATCTGCAGCTTTTGCAAGCTGTTTTTACATTTATACCCCCAATGCAAAATTGCATAATAAAAGCATGTTTTTATTGGGGTATATATAGTAAATAGTGACAGTGTAGTATTCCTTTAAAACCTCTGTATCATACAGTAGTTACATTTATTTCCTAGTTTATAATCTTTGTTTCATTTCTTACAAGTTTCGATTCTTATCTGGCTTCCATGGAGTGTGAAACAAAACAAAAAATAGTAGTTTTCTATATTACATTTTATGTGGTGTCTATCCATGTTATCTTGCTGTCAAAAACACATACAAAAAAAATGAACAATGGAAAGTTAAAGGACCGTACATGTGAAGAGTGTGTTGTCTTTTTTTCATTTTACAAAAAGTGGAAATATCAATAACAATTGGTACTTTTATAAATTATAGGAATACTTTAGTATTAAGAATACAAAGCTGTAATCCTAACACTATAAAGTTTTTCTGCTCCCCTCTCCTCCTCCAGCAGAGTTAGTATTGGGGGTTTATCTAGTAAAAAAGTAATTTTTATACATTTTTGTATTTGGGCAGTGGAGGGTCCCTTTAAAACTGGACTGGGATTAAAACTGGGATTCAGATGTTTAATATATACCTATATAACTTTACTTTCTTTTTATAGCAAGTGATAATTATTTAGGATGCTTTTACTGTTAATAATCAATACAAAACAGGTAAACCGTTTGAATTCACTTCAACAAACACTGCCACTCTTACACTAGCCCACTCAATATTTCCAATATTTTAGTACGCCAAGAGGGTTATCATATATATTTAAAAAATTATGCATAAAAGTGTCGAGTACATACACTTTTATCCAAAGTGGTAAATTGTTTAGACAAATTAAATATTTATCCTCCTGAATAATAATGTGTGCCTTGGCTCTCCCTTATCTGGACTGGATTGTCAAATAGTTTGAATGGTTTGGCAAAAATTGGGGATCTCTGGGTACTTGAAGCTTGGCCCCATTGGTAAACTGGGTGTTAGTATGTGGCTAACTGTCAAAGTGTAAGTGTGCTTGTGGTATGGACTAGAATAATCTGTGTGTTTGGGAGGTGGAGGGGGCTTCCAAGACACCAGGAGTGCCAGGAATTCTACGGCTGGCTTGCGAAAGGGAATGTAATAAAGAGAACAGTAACAACGATCAATGCAGGTAGCAATGGATGGGGGAAAGGAATTAAAGGGAGAAAGCAATACTATAGGGGAAAGCACAAGCATTGGGCTGGGCTACGAGTGCTGGGGGGAACCAGGTAATCTCCTTTTTAGCAATCCCAAATACATATAGAGCCAATGAACCAGCACTATGCAATGATGTATTAATAAGTAGTATAAATACGAAAAGTACATTCCACACCAACATTAAACAAAATGACGTTTCAGCTAATTTTAAGCAGTATAAAAGAACCTGTGCTTAAAAGAACTCACCTGTGTAATGCAAGCAGGAGGAAAATTATAAAGAAGCATTTATCCAAAAATTTAGAAAAATTAAAAACCAGAAGATTAAGGGGTTACTGCAACCAAAAACCAGGGTTTTTCATAAAACACTGGTTTTGGTTGTTTTAACCCCCCTCCTCCCTCCCCCTACATAAATGTAACAAAAAATGCTGAGGTGAGGTTCTCCTTGAGCCTTATGTCCCTCTGCTTATGTCACTCTCACTCACCGAAGGCAAAAGTGGTCAAGGAAGGTGCACAGAGGGAAGGACCAGATTTAAAAACTCAGCTGTTTCAAACTGCAAATGAAAATTCAAGAATAAGTTTTAAAGGAGTTTAAAATAATAAATATGCTTAATGATTTAATGCACAAAAGGTTTAATCTGTATAAATGGGGGTGGCCATATCTGGATAAAAATTCTGGTGAATTCACTGTCAAATAAAACCACTTTTTTAAAATTGTTTTTTTTTTTAATTTTATTTATAAAACTGCAATGATACACACATAATACCCAGTACACGAACAACGGAGCCTGTCCCTTTATCGGTTCAATTAAATGTTTTCGGCTATTGCAGAATAACCAGCAAAGTGGGCACACGCTTGGACCGGTGCCCCGGGAACTGTGTATTCTGCTTTTGAATTTAACACATTGGCTCACATTGTATTCTGATCAAAGCTGATAAAGCAAAGAAATGACCTACGGCAGTGGTTCCCAATCGGTTGGCTGAAGTCACTCTCCATTGCCATGTGCTACCAAAGCCCACTGGGACACTTTAACATGCTCTTGGCCAGGCTGCCGTAAAGTAAGATGTCTGTGAATACTCTGTAGGTAGAGGAAGCCTTAAACTGCACCCAATTTACTCTCCAGCATAACATTGAGACAGAAGCTGGGAAAATATTTTATGGTATCATCATCCTTTACATAGCTCATAATTAAGGGGGGGGCATTAAAAGTAATCTATGCCATTGGGGGGTGTACAGACAGTCTTGTTTGCACATTAGACACCAAGGACAAAGAAGAAGGCTGTTCTGCCTTCTGCCGGTAACAGTAGAAGAGTCACTGTATGATATCCAAAAACATCCGAAAACTCCAGAAGGCCACAGTCACGTTGATCATAACAGATTGTGAGCATGACAGCTCTGTTTCTTTTCTGAGATGGCTGACTGTCAGTGCACGACACCAGTAACTTTTGTGAAGAGCACAGCAGATGGGGAATTAATGTAATGTCCCTGTGTCTTCATAACAGCAGACACAGGTGTGTGCAGAGAGTGTCAGCAGCTAAAATGTAGAGGTACAGAACTATCACTGGCTATTACACCAATGGTCCAACAGGGAACATAATTTTATGCAGTAATCCTTTCTCCAGCTGTGTGTACTGTGTGTAGACATGTGATGGGAAGGGTATGTGTCATTGTGTGTTTGTGTGAGAGTGTGAGCACGTGGCTAGCTGTCAAAGTGTAAGTTTTGTGTTTGGGTGGTGGATGGGCCTTCAGAGACAGCAAGTGTGCCAAAAATTCTACGGCTGGCTTGCGAAAGGGAATGTAATAGAGAGAAAAGTAACAAATGATCAAAGCAGGTAGCAAAGGATGGGGGATAGAAATAAAAAGGAGAGAGAGCAATAGGATAGGGGAAAGCACAGTGAAACAAAGGAGGAGTGGAGGTTGAAAAGAAGAGATAGCTAAGTGGGGACAATCAAGAGAAGAAAAGTGAAAATGTAATCAGAGGCATAAATAATTTTTTTTTAAAATGGAGAAAAGGCATGGATGAGACAAGGATGATGTAAACCAGTGGTAGTCAACCTTTTTCTATCTACAGCCCACTAATGCATCTTTGTTGATGGAAAAATGTCCTTACCGCCCACCAGTTTTTACGCAAGTGCAGAATATTTTTTAGAAAGGAGGGAGTTTTCAAAAAAATAAATAAAATAAATGTACATACATTTATCTTTTTATTTCTACTTAATGCATGTTTATAATGTTTTTAACTTTATAAAGTTTAATGAGAAAGGAATAGAGTAAATTGAAATTACCTTTACTAATGATTAATGAGATCCTTGAGGTTGATGCTGCAAGACTAAATATTTGATATCCGGTTCGATTTTCATAAGGAACAAACGAAGGTCTCCTCTTTCAGTGATATTCAGATGATTTCTCTGTTTGCTCATAATATGATTTCTCATCTGTGCATCAGCGCCCCTCCTCTCCCTCCTCAATTCCCCTCCCCATCTTTTTTTTCTTCCTATTTTCTATTTTTTAACCTTCCTTATAGCAATGCCCAGTAGGAAGGCTGAGCTAGGTAGCCCACTTACTATATTATTAGCCAACAACAATTCTCTCCTTTTCCTTCTTTCTTATTTTTTTACAAGTACTCTACTCCTACTTTCTCCTATTCTACAAGTACTCTGCGCCTTCTTTGTACTTTTTACAAATACTCTGCTCCTTCTTTCTTCTATTCTACAAGTACTCTGCTCACAAAAATACACACACACTCACACATATACACTTACAGACACACACATATACACTTACAGACACATATACTTATAAACACACACACACACACACACATATATATATATATACTTACAGACACATACACATACTTATAGACACACACATACACATACTTATAGACACAAACACTTATAGACACACATATACTTACACACACATACTTAGACACACACACACACACACATACACACATATACTTACACACACACACACATACACACATATACTTACACACACACTTACAGACACACACACACACTTACAGACACACACACACATATACTTACAGACACACACACACACACACACACACATATACTTACAGACACACAAATTATTAATATTAAATGTCCACCCAGTCTCCCTACCTGGAGAGCTGGTGTGGTTCTGTCCCTGGCGTCCAGTGGGGCTTCACTTCGGCGGTCGGCTGTGTGCTAAACAGACGCGGCAAGGGAGCTCTAACCTCTCTGCTCTGCTCCCTCGGGGGCTTTCTACTGATGCAGAGAGTGGGAATATGACATCATATTCCGGCTCCCGCTGCATCAGCAAACATCGCGCGAGGGAGCAGAGAGGTTAGAGGTCCCTCGCCGCATCTGATCTTACCACTGCTGCACGCCACGCTGGGGGGTCCAGAAGGTGGCCTGGCAGGAGGGAGCACTTCCCTCCTGCCAGTCACTGAAAACTTGCACCTCCAGAGCCGCTCTCGCCCGCCCACCCACAAGGAGAAATTCTCTCAGAAAGAGGATTTAGCCGCCGAAATCCCTACCGCCCATCTGGAATCCGGAAACGCCCACTAGTGGGCGATAGGGACCAGGTTGATGACCCATGATTTAAACGATGGAGAAAGTCAGAAAGCAGATGAGTGGAGGAGAGCGCAAGCAATGCAAAAGCAACAAAGAGGGAATGTAGAAGGATCACTCCACAGACCATAACCACTACAGCAATATGCCCACTGTAAGTAAGCGAACCATTTTAAACTTCTGACATGGGGTCTGCTAGGTTCCCTGCCTAGAATAGTGGTTACTGTGCTTGAAGTTTTCCTTTAAGAAAGAAGGGATAGCAAACGAAAAGAAGGAATAGAAACGAAGGGAGCAATAAAAATAGATGGACCCTGCAAATGGAAAAAAAACTATATAAAAACAACAACAACAACAACAACAACAACATGGGGGGAACTGCACAGTGAAGAAGGAAGAACACAGGGTGATAGAAAGTAGGTTCTGAGGTGACCAAACTGTACATAACATAATTATGTACCTAAAGTAGCAAAGTGAATTATGTATAGTATATGTGAAAGGAGTGCTAACATTGCATTTCCTTCAAAAACAAAAATGGTTTTGTTTTCCATACTTTTAAAACTTATTGCAAATTCTACATCTCTTCATTAAAACAGATTATCCTAACTAGAATCAGTGGCAGTACGTACTGGCCGAGCACTAAAACAAGAACAAACAAGGAATCCGAATAAGGCTTTTCGTTTTTGTATATCAGGAGTACAGCCAATATAATGTTCACAAAAAGGTGAAAAAAGCGTGATAAACAAACTACTAAGCTATGGAGTAAGCCGAAGGTATAAAGTCTTCCAAATGGGGAGCTCATAATAGCCTAGCAAAAGGAATTGAAGATTATGCTAGCGCAGTGTACTAATAATCGTAATGTTAATAATGACAGGAGGCAAATATTTTGCATTAACTTTCTTTACTAACTCCATAGCAGCAAAGAAAAAAACTGTTTAAAGAAAGAACCAATCAGAGTGAGTCAGAGAGTATATAAGTCCAAGCATAGCCAATCATTTCCTCTTCACTAATGCGACATCACAAGTTTATAGTATGACAAACGTGTCCAGAGTCAACTTGATTCAATTAAATCCAACGTGGAAACTTCATTATCAAATCCAGTCTTCTTCATTAAACATAAGACTTGTTAAATGACTTCTAAATTCTCCATAGGCTTGTTAAGCTGAAAGAAAAGGAGACTAGTATCAGTGATACGGAACAGACCGTATGCAGCTAATGCTTATGTGTATGCTAATAATTTTAAATGATTAACTCGATTATCCATAAGTGTATCATACTAATCCACTACACAATGTTTAGAAAAACAGAAGTATTGACTACTGTAAAACATTGCACTACATAAGTATAAATACTAGCATCAAGTTTGTCCCCGTAAAACTTACTTACCTTAATAGGGGTGGGAGAGTCAAGAAGAAGGGGAGGGAAAATATTCCCCTCCTGTCATTATTAAAATTAAGATTATTAGTACACTGCGCTAGCATAATCTTCAATTTTACAACATGACAGGAGGCTTCACATTTTTCATTTTTAACGCTTAGGTAGAAGGGTGAATGCGGCATTTGACGATGGACTGAAATAGAATGTCCGAAACGTCGATTCATGCGACCAGTCCGCCGTTTGCAGTATGTCTGATAGAGATGTGCCTGCCAGAAAAGCGACTGATGCCGCCACCCCTCGCACGGAGTGTGCGCCAAAGGATGGTTCTAAGCCGGCTAGGGATAGGAGCCATTTGATCCATCTGGCTAACGTGGTGACCGAAACCGGTCCGTGTGGGCTAACATATGACACCAATTGTCTTGCTTTTGGTGGGCGTAGTGTTTCTGTTGCTGTCACATATTCCCTCAGAGTATTAACCACGCAAAGTTGAGGGTCTGAGGTGAAGAATGGATAAAACACAGATGACGAGTCCGATTTGGTCCTCCGTGAGACATGGAATGTGACTCCCTCCGGATTTATAGAAAAAGCGTCTTTGTTGAATGCCTGGACGTCCGATACCCTCCGTAATGAGACCATGCCCAATAGGAAGGTGAATTTGTCCGTCAGTTGTTTTAAGGATAATAGTTCATTAGGGGGCCCTCCCCTTAGGAAACGGAGTACCAAATTCACATCCCATAGATCTTGGTATTTTGGTGCTGGAGGCCGCCTCACTTTGATGCCCCGTAACAATCGAGTGGTCCAGTTGCCAATCGCTAACGTCTCTCCAGTGTCAGGAGTACCAATCTGCCGTAAGATTCGACTTCCCCGGTAGGTGTTCTGCTCATATCATGATGTTGCGCAGGAGACAATAATCGAAGATTTCCTTATTTAGTGTTTGAGAGCATGTACCACCAAGGTGGTTGATGTACCGGACTGCCGATATGTTGTCCATCCTAAGAAGTATACAGCAATTGGATTGTCATTTCGCCAGGCTGCGTATAGCAAATGACCCCGCTAGTAGTTCCAGACAGTTGATGTGCATCGAGAGTTCTTGGGTTGTCCATGTTCCTCCTGTGGATGCTTCCCCATCCGTGGCGCCCCATCCCAATCGGCTGACGCCAGATTCCAGCACGAAGTCCAGGTGGTTGCCGAATATGGCTTGACCGTTCCAAGCTTGCATACAGTTGAGCCACAATTCGAGTTCTTGGCGTACCTCGTCCGTTAGCGGGACTGGCTGGTTGTACGTAGGGTTCCGTTGTAGGAAGCGGGTTTTCAATTGTTGCATGGCCCGGTAGTGCAGAGGGTCTGGAAATATGGCTTGTATCAATGAGGAAAGCAGGCCAACGATCCGTGATAGTTGTCGGAGTGGAATAGAAGCGCATTTGAGCACTCTGCGGATCTCCTTCTTGATAGCCGTCACTTTGGTAGACGGGAGATGACGTGTGCAAGACCTGGAGTCTATCTTGAAGCCCAGGTATTGGATTTTCTGAACGGGTGTCATTGCGGACTTGGCCCTGTTGACTATGAAGCCTAGGGATTCCAACAATTGCACCGTGTACTCTGTATGTTGTGCGGCCAATTCCCTTGTTCTGCAGAATAAGAGTATGTCGTCCAGGTAAATAATGCACCTGATCCCACAAGTCCTGAGGTGGGAGACCACTGGTTTCAACATCTTCATGATGCACCATGGTGGAGAGCACAGTCCGAAAGGGAGCCAAGTGAATTGCCAGGGAGCGCCGTTCAATAGGAACCGGAGGAAAGGGCGGCTGTCCTCGTGAATTGGGATTGATAGGCATGCGCCTTTGAGATCCAGATGCATAACCAAGTCCTTTTCTTGAAGGAGGTCCCTTAGTAAATGTATGCCCTACATTTTTAAGTGACGATAGGTCATGTGGGCGTTCAACTCTCTTAGGTTGAATACCAGTCTGAAATCTCCTGTTTTCTTGCGGATGAGGAACATATTGCTGAAGAAGCCTCCTCGTCCCTGTACGGGCTGTATAGCACCCTTTGCGTGTAATTCGCGGAGCTCCATTTCTATGAGGTGTGCGTCTGAGGTTGAGAGATATAACGGACGATGAGGGAACTTCTGTACAGAGGCTGTATGTAATTCGATGCGATACTCTTTGACCATCTCTAGAATCCAGGCGTCTGTGAACAGATTTGTCCAGTTCTAGGAAAAAAGAGAAACACGGCCTGCAGACCTAGTTAAGGGTTGATCTCTTACCTGTTGGGAATCTTGCGAGGGCTTGTCCGCGACCTCCATGTCCTCTGTCTTTGTCCCTCTGATAGTAGGGGTAGCGCGGTCGAAAACCGGTGTCTTGATAACCCTGTTGCAGGTAAAATTGTTATGGGTGTCCCGTGCGGGGGCCCGATGGCCAGAATCGGCTGGTGGCACAGCCCCGCTGCTGGCCAGCCCTGGGAAAAACACCCTTTGCGAGGTTGCCTTGGAAAACCTTGCGCATGGATGAACGGGCTCTGTTTAGTGAAGTGTAGACATTGACATGTTTATTTAGCTCTTTGAGGAAGGCCTCCTTGAAGAGCTCGCCCTGTGCCTGTGGGCCCAATTCTTTTACCCCCAGATCCACTAATTTGGGGTCTATGCGGAACAGTGCTGCGCTGCGCCGCTCTGTTGAGAGGGCCACATCGGTGCTCCCGAGAAAACAGAAGCCCCTCTGGGTCCATTCTTGGATATCATGTGCCCAATCTCTTATCATGTCCGTATTAAAAGAGTCCACTCTGGCGTAGGCATCATCCGCCAAATACATTACGCGGGCCAATTGCCCCATCGTGTGCATGAGCTTGTCTTGCGCCCCTTTTAGACTGCCGACCTCCCTGCTCCATGAACATCAGCATGAGCTTGTCGATTCTGGTGTAAAGGCCAGTCTGGGGCACTCCGCTCTCATTCGCTTGCGTATGTGTGTTTGCAGGGTTTGCGGATACAGAAATACATAAACCTGAGGAGGTGCTCAGGTGGGGCCCATTCACCAGAGCGGGGGTGCCAGATATTTCTATAGTCAAACATTTTCTGCCCCGTGGTGTCCCGGAATATTTCTTGTTCCTGCGTGATGGCTGAGGCGGAGGCTTCTTCATCTCCTTTACCCTGGGGCTCACCCAGGAAGCTCTCCGTGACATAGGCGTTGGAGCCCCAATCGCCGTCGTCCGAATCGGAGAGTTCCGCCTGCCATTCATCTAAGATGATAAGGGAATGGGGCATGTATTTTTCTCATCCGAGGAGATCTCTTTAGCGTATGTGGGCTTCAGTGCCATAGGGCGCTTACTGCGCTTCAGAGGTGCCTTGCCTTTATTGGTGGCCCTTTTGGCGTTTAGCCGGGCGGTGCCTCTACTGAGAGGAGTCATCCAACTCATCTGAGTTCTTTTTATTACGAGGTGGTCTACTAGCCGGCTTGTTGGTTTCAGCACTTTTGCCATTGCCTTTTCCAAGGATGCGGCTACTGCCGCGTTAATCATGAATTCTGGTTATCCTGCATAGTCAGGGAACTTACAGGCACAGGTATATATATATATATATATATATATATATATATATATAATTTGGATTCGTGTGGGGGGACGGGACTTATGACAGGCCAGTGGTCGTATATATTGTCGCCCAGTGGCGTGAGACAAATGGACTCTGTAGTACTGGGGCTCACCCAGTCGGTCAGAACTGCTTGCAGTAGGCATATTTCCCAAATATGCATATTCCCCAAATTTCACAAATGGGGGCTCACCCCTTGCCAGGTTACTCGGTTAAACCTAACTGGCCATCCCACTCCCTAGGGTAATAACACCCACCTTTTGTAGATCCATATCCGAAATCACCTGTCAAATTGTCAGAAAATCTCCTGCAAGACAAGTACCTTGAAGTGTTGTGAGTTAAACTCCAATCTGTTACACCAACAAAATGGCCGCCGCAGGTCTCGCAAGAGACCCTGGGCGATGAACAGGAAAAAAGCCAGCAAAAGCGGCTTAATAACCAGTGAGGCATTTGGCAAGAAACTCACGAGCGGCTTTGTTCGTGCAGTGCCTTAGTTTGCCGAACGCCCGTTGAAGGAAGAAACTACGAATAGACTGGGTTTATATGAACCCAGTCCTTTTGTGCAACTGTGCACACTGTTAGCTTCACGCGGTTGCGTGTTCGTGAAGGAGAAGCACGAACTGTGAGTGCCTCTGTTTGCGCAATTACGAGCGCGAGCAGGCGGAGGAACCGAACGCAGTAGTGCTGTGTCCATTTGTGCCGAGACACACAAACACCATAAGCTAGCCCGCTCTGTTGGTACAGTAACAACGGCACGAACAGGGCGGGAAAACCAATAGTAAAGTGGCGAATATAGCCACTCGAGGTTAGAGAGGGAAGGGGAGGGAGGGAAATGAGGCTTTCCTCACAGAACGGGTCTGAGGTGAAAAAGGTAATCCCTTCAACGGCAACTATTGAAGGAGGTACCCCAATGCCTGGATACCCTCCAAATAAAGCAATTTATGAATACAATAGCTCTATTAACATTCTAACATGTACATAAAGTTACAGTTAAGAAATCAGTACTCTGACCTGACTTGTGATGGAGCAGCAAAGAAAGAGGAAATGATTGGCTATGCTTGGACTTATATACTCTCTGACTCACTCTGATTGGTTCTTTCTTTAAACAGCTTTTTTTCTTTGCTGCTATGGAGTTAGTAAAGAAAGTTAATGCAAAATATGAAGCCTCCTGTCATGTTGTAAAATTTGACCCACTGCTATTGTTTGGACAGAAGTATGTAAACAATTGTATCATTGGCGCATGTATCACTGCCGCAGGTGTGGGGATGGTAAGCGGGGACAACAAAATAAGACAAGACAAAATATCAGACACTACGAAGACACAAATTGGTTTGTAATATAGAACCGTTACCTCCACAGAAACACGAAGGGAAATCAAACTGTAGCTTTGTGGGGGCATAGTTTAGTTTGATCGCTGATGTTACCACACAAGTAATAAGGCACAAGACTATAATAAGGGAACAAAGAAAAGATTTTTTCCGAGTACGGCTTCAGGCCACGAGGATTTTTCTTTTCGAACTAAATGAAAATGTTCTGACAAAAACTCGACAGACAGTATTCATGATGTCCTGATACCATTACTACAACAATAAACTAATGTGGCTGCAGTGCTTGTTATGTCCCTTTAAACCTAGCAGGATACAATGATTAACTATTGGTAGGAGGAAACGTGCGTAGATTGCGGACGTAGACTGCTAGCGTAAGTGAATTTGGTGAATTAATTGCATTTACAGCATAAATGACAGCTGTTCTGCACAGCAAACAGCATATACCATAAATGCTAGTTATCAGTGTCTCCAGGCTGTACATTTTGGACTCCACTGTCCAAATACAAAAAAAACAATAATAATAAAAAAGGAAATGGTTTAGTATATATGCCCCCAATGAAAACATGCATGCATTTCAGTATGCATTTTTTTTTTTAAATCTAAAAATAACTTGCAAAAAGCAGCAGATCTCTTGCCTGCAGCCTTTGCAAGCCCTCCCCTTCTAATCCCAGCTCAGACTTTCTGTGGCTGTCCAATCACAGTCTTCCAATGCTGCACAATGAGAAGTCTTTGCAAAGCAGGTGCTCTGAGCAATTGCTTCCTCTGAAGTTTAGTTGCACTGAGCTTAACAACCAGGAAGTAACAGGATCACTTGTCTGATTGACAGCCTGGAGGGTGTAACCAGATTCATTTATATAAAAGTGCCAATTTCTATTGAAAGCTGCACTGGTTTTTTTTTCTCTAAATGAAAGAAGAAGAAAAAAAAAAAAAAGACCTGTCTTGACATGTCTTCAAACAAAGTATTTCAGCAAGAGAAACTGAGTGAAAGGTCTGGAGTTTAGAAACAGTAAAACAGGCTGCACACAAGTCACATTACATAACATGGGGGAGATGACTACTGACCACTGCTGGAGGCTGAGTGGTTAACAGGGAAATTACCTTCACATGTGGTGGCAATGCCCCAAAGTTCTTTCTGAATAAATCTGCCCTTAACTTTATACCGTGCCTGGGACTTGCTTTGTTTTGAATGCCCAAAAGTCAAACTGTTTTGTGGAAAACCACAATCTTTGCTCTGTCTAGTGTGGCACTTCATTGTCTCCACTTGGGCATGTCTTCTCTCTACGACCGTGGAATTTTTTTTGGCATTCATGAAAATTAGATAATGGCTAGAAATTCTCCTAACAGCATGGAGAGCCTAAGCCAAAATTTGGAGAACAGTTGGGAGTTCTGCCTTTCTAATAAAATGTTTTGAATAAAACTGCCGACAATTACCAGAGATATTTTAAAGTGTAAGAAGATTTGGAGTCCTGTTGGTGTGTTAGCGCAGCACAGATTACTCCCTTAGCCCTCTCTTTCTTGTTTAAAAAACACTCTAAGCACCATAACCAATTCAACACACTGAAGTGGTTATAGTACACTGAGCAACCTAATGCCTGATTTCACATGGTTTAAAACTGAATAAGGGCCGTTGGCTACCCATGGCTCTACCACACCACTGGAGGTATGGCTAAAGTAGAGTGCAAAAATTTCAGATCCAGTTTTGATCTGGATGAACTTATTAAGAATTCCAACCACATTTAATTCAAACTTCTAATGAACATTAGGTCTCAGAATAATTCAGGAGGGCTTCTTTTTTATTTTCTCCAGTTCATTAACCCTTCAAATCAACCAACAACACAGTCAAATGATTAAAACCATCAGTCGAAATATTGCTCGCACTTCTAGAATAACATGAAGTTTTGCTTTTATGTAACACTTGACCACACAAAGGAAGGTATATAAACAACAAAACACATAAAATCTGCATGTGTATAATTCAGGACAGGTAATAACTCAGCACCTTTAACCCGGCTGCAGTGTAAAATCACATTATGAATGCCTATGGCCATTGCTGTCAGTCAGTGTTTACAACCTATTACTATGTAATACCGTCAGTGTCCCTGTAAATCTGAAGAGGATCTTTGACACGTCACTAAATAGGATATATTCTCACGATAAAGGCCTTAGGGTCATTATTAATAATCAGTGTTTATTATAACATTTGTAGTGTTGTCAGTGTCTTTGATAAGGCTTTATTTAAATGAAATTCAGATCATGAATGCCTACTGGTATTGCTCTCAATGTAATATTGTCAGTGTACCTATATATCAACATAGCTTTAATTAGGGTATATTCGTATTATGAATGTAATGGAGTATTGCTATTAATCAGGGTTTATATTAGGTCTATTGTAATATTTCATATGGCTGTATCTAGGGTAAATGCCTGATTATGAATGCCTATGTGCATTGCTCACAGTGTTTACCAAGTAATATTGTCATTGTGTACATTAAGGGCAGGCTCTTTAACATGGCTTTAATCAGACCAGGCTTCTTTGACATGGCTTTAAATAGATTATATTCTTATTATGTCTGTTTATGTGCTTTGCGGACAGTGTTTACTAAGTAATATTGCCAGTGTTTGTGTAAAACCAGGACAGGCTCTTTAACATGGCTTTAATTTGAGTATATTCTTGTTATCAATGTCTATGAGTATTGCTATTAATCAGTGTTTATTACATATATAATGTAATACTGTCAGTAGCTTTGATATGTCTATATCTAAAGTATATCCTTACGATGAATGTCTATCTATGTACTTTGCTCACAGTGTTTATACTAAGTAATATTGTCAGTGTTTGTGTAAAACCAGGACAGGCTCTTTAACACGGCTTTAATTTGACTATATTCTTATTATCAATGTCTCTCTATGAATATTGTTATTAATCAGCGTTTATTAAATTTATTGTAATACTGTCAGTAGCTTTAATATGGCTATATCTGAAGTATATCCTTATCATGAATGTCTATCTATGTGCTTTGCGGACAGTGTTTACTAAGTAATATTGTCAGTGTTTGTGTAAAACCAGGACAGGCTCTTTAACATGGCTTTAATTTGAATATATTCTTTTTATCAGTGTATCTCTATGAGTATTGCTATTAATCAATGTTTATTATATGTATATAATACTATGACACTGTCAGTGTCTATAATTTTATTTTATTAATATTAATAATATATATAATAATAAAAAAATATAAAATATAATATAATAATAGTATATAATAATAATATATTATAATAATAATAATAATAATATATATATATATATATATCCCTCCCCAGGATCAGTAACAGGAGTTCCCAGACATGCAGCCCAGTACATATGTCACCAGTCCAGCTCAGTGCCAGCCATGCCATACACCCACAGGGCACTTACCTTGGAAGCCACCTGCCCTCCCTCTGGATCTATTCTGCGTTTATTCTGCCTGGGGACTCAGCCGCATTTCCCCTTCCAGTTGGCTGTGACAGTGGGCACCGCAAAGCCAAAGCCGCGCAAAGGCTGTCGGGAGTTGTAGTTGGCCTGAGCTTCGACAACCAAACACCAACCGTCCAATAAAACTACAACTCCACAGATGCTCCGGGACAAGGAAAAAAAACAAAAAAAAACAGCATAACCAGTGAGCTGACTGAATGGGGCGCCCTCTAGTGCCCTCTGCAGTGCTGTGCACAGTAAGGCCAGTAACAGGCTGACAAGCACTATATTGTACATATTTAGTAAAGATTGGGTTTAACCAGCTGGCTTGTAAAACAAACTGTTTTTTACTATGACCTTGTTTTATGTTTTTTTTTTTTATGGTTTATGTATGTGCATATTAAATTATATAGCTGTTTATAATGTATTTATTCATGTATAGTGTAATGGTCCTTGTATTTGAAGGCCATGGCAGCCATTCTGAGGTAAATTACTACATTTGGAACAATCACCCTCTGTTTGGTTTAATAATATACTTGGAATTGCTCTACTTTATGAATGCCAATGCCTCAAAAAATAATAATAAAAAAAAAATAACTTTTTAGTAGATATACCGCATGCATTTAATTATTAATTTTTTATTGGAGTATATCCAAACCCAGCTTGCATAAGCTGCTTATCTCTTGTCTGCAGCTTTTGCAAGCCCTGCCCTTTTGACCTCGCCTAGACTTTCTGTGGCTGTCCAATCACAGACTTCCCAATGCAGCTCAATGAGAAGTCTTTGCAAGGCAGGTGTTCTGGACAATTGCTGCCTCTTGAGTATAGATCTACTCTGTTACACAAAATAAGGAAGTAATAGGACTTGTTTGACTGACAGCCAAGGGATGTAACCATGTTAAATTATAAAAGTGCCAATTTACATTAAACTCTGCGCTTTTTGTATAACGTAAAAAGAAGGACATACTCTTCACACATAAAGCACTTCAGCAAGCTAAAGTGCGTTGGATGTCTGGAGTGTCCCTTTAAGTCATCTATGCTTTCAGCATGGCTACTCTGGCCTTAAATTTGAAATTCACTTTAAATCAATTTGAATTCTCACTTTAATATATAACTCTATCAGTTAATTGAAAACAAAACTGGACATTTTCTCTTTTTCACAACTACCACAGTTATTTACTAAAGAGTAATTTGTTAGGATTTCAAATTGAATTTCAAACAAAAATAACTACATTGGAAAATTAATAACTGATACAGTAAAGACAAACTTATCTACTTCCAACAAGTGGCAAAAACTAACAGCATGGATGGACCATTGGCCTATGTCCTATGACTTTGTACCCGTGACACTACATAGACACTCACAGAGCCACAGAGAAGCTTTCATCTGTTGTTTAGGATCAATTAATAGGTGCAATACACTTGTTTTTAATACATTTACTCATCTATACATTTGTTAGTCGTTTAACTAGTGCCAGGTATAGGTGCAATTAAATCTACTATGAAATCCAGGCTCTTGTTAACTGAGAGATCTCTACTTTTGTAATAAACTGAACACAGATACTATTAGGGGTACATGGAGATTATAATTTGATGTTAAAAATCTCTAAAGCACATAATACTAAAATTATGCATCTGAGACAAGCACAGAAAACAGTTTATGTCTTAACTATGTCAGTGCCAATATATCATCATGAAGGATAAAAGGTTGGACGGGGACGATCACTAATTTATCTTAGTAAAAATCACACATCTACAACATTGAGGTGTTTTTTATTTTTTATTTTAAAGCTTTATACTTATCTATGGACTATAAGACAAAGTTATAGGTCTCCTTAACCTCTTTATCTCTTTGAAGTGTTTACGGTGCCAAATACTCCTGGTGCCATCCCACTTTTCATTGGTAAATCTTTTTCGATGCTGCTAATGTGGAAGCTTTAGCTTAACTTGCAATGGGTGGCAGTGATGGGCTGAGAGTGTCAGCTAATTTCTCTCAGACTATCACTGCTGCCCTTCGCTGATATGAATTGATAATGGCTAATCCAGAGTTACACTCCACATCAGCCATAGCTTCCAGCTGGGGTTGGTGGCACAGGTGCAGATGGGATGTGGAACAGCAGGAACCAAGTGGGACAGGTCCCTAAAATTGGAAATGTCCCAACCAAATTAGGACAGTTGGGAGGACTACTTCAACCCATTTTGGGGGATACATTTTCGTTTTAAAATGCCCTATTGGCCACTATTAATGCAATAAAAAAGACAAGCAATATTAAAGGACCACTATAGTGACAGGAAAACAAACTCGTTTTCCTGGCACTATAGTGCCCTGAGGGTGCCCCCACTCTCAGGGTCCCACTCCCGTGGCGCTGAAGGGAGAGGAAAGGGGTTAATCCCTTTCCCTCTGTGCTGGGGATTCTCCTCCCTCTTCTGATGTCCCTGTCTGAATGCGCATGCGTGGCAAGAGCTGCGCGCGCATTCAGCCAGTCCATAGGAAAGCATTCTCAATGCTTTCCTATGGACGCTGGCGTCTTCTCACTGTGAAAATCCCAGTGAGAAGCGCGGAGGCGCCTCTAGCGGCTGTCAATGAGATAGCCACTAGAGGCTGGATTAACCCATAGGTAAACATAGCAGTTTCTCTGAAACTGCTATGTTTACAGCAAAAAGGGTTAAACCTAGCTGGACCTGGCACCCAGACCACTTCATTAAGCTGAAGTGGTCTGGGTGCCTATAGTGGTCCTTTAAGCTTACAGGAAGGTGGGGAGGGCTCAGAACAGTGAAGGGGGGAGGCAGGGGAAAAAATGCTTCCCCTTGCAGGTACTGCCTGTAAGTGAGGAGCTCACCATGTCCATTTCCAGCATTCAGTGCACGCTAATGACGTATATATTTTATGCATAAAGTGGACATTTGGCAGTCCAGGCCAGAGTTCTGGGCGGCCAAAATAATGTGTGCCCAAAGCTGCTGATTATTCTGGATGTGCAGTGTTTCAAGCAGAAGTGCTGCACATAAAGATTCTTACCACCATGACCACTTAAAATCAGTGAGTGGTCTTGGTGGTTGGAGTAACCCTTTCAGGTGGCCATCGTGCCACAATCTCATTCTATTATTCTAGTTTCTATTCCAATTCAGTTGATTTTGTTTTATTTCGTTGAAAAAAATTCTAGTTCATTGTTAGTCTTACCAATGTATTCTTACAACCTTTCCACACCACTAGAGGGCAATAGCTCTTGTCAAATTTCTTCATAAGCATGCAGGCAATAATAGATATAATGAGGCAACACAGTTTACTAACAAAATATGATATGCAAAATCTGCTTCTTTTTGTGGAAAATGGCAGTTGAAATCGATTTTATTCTTAAAACAGCAAATTGTTGTCAATGGAAAATCGAATAACAAAATGTTTGATCAAGTAACCATGCTGTGACTATAGCTAAATAGGAGATTTATTTCTAATTAGATTACAATTTAATGTTCTTGTTAATAGAACCAATGACTTTTGCATGAGACTAAACATGCACAAACATTTAAGACATTGTGAATGTAAACATCTCGCGCCCATAGTGTAAGTTCTACCCAGTAAATTAACTCTTGACAGATGGCGCCTTAACTCACACTTTTGATATTTAAAAGTTTAATGAGAATTCTTAGAATCTCTTGGTCCAGTATGGAAATTGAAGTGAAATAGGAACCAGTAATGTGCATTGTATAATGTTGTTCAGAGATTTAGTACACATAAATAGTACAGATAAAATACTGATATTCTAAAAAGTAATTTCAAGTAATGCAAACAAGGCATGAAACAAACAAACTACAACAAAAACAAACAAACAAACAAACAAACAACAACAAAACACAACACAAGTATCCCTTACACCCAACACATTTGTCTCTCAGTTCAGGCCTTTTTCAAGAGCTATTTTATTAACTAAAATGTACAGGGCCAGATTAAGAGCCCAGTGGGCCTAGTGCTGACAAATATGAGGGGCCTAAGTACAGAATCTTATCGACCAAAAACACTAAAACAGTCATACCTCTTAAACCTTATGTATCTGGTGGTGATGTTGCCAGAGGGAAACTCATAGGATGCAGCTATAAGAAAACACAGATTCTCTTAAAATATGCTAATCTCTCTCTAATTCATGCTTTCATCTTTCAAGTAAATCCATACCCCCTAACAGCAGTGTCCAGTTAAGCGGTGTAAAAGGGTGGGCCACTGACGCGCATCATGTAACCAGAACTCCTGAAAGGAACGAACATGCCCAAAAAGGAGGCGTGTCTGCTCAAAGAATTGGAAGTCTAGCCTGGCATGAATGCATGTCAGGCTGCCTCCCAATCATGCATGCTGACCAACAGCATCCTGAGCTTGGCATAAATGCATCTAACGATGCGCTCGATTCATGCTTTCTAAGGACTGTCCCGTAGCACTTAAATGTCTCCTTACCTTCTTACTAGCAGACAGAAGCTCCTGGTAAACAGTATGAGACAGTGAAAAGGTGGGTGTGGTGAATGTTGAAGAAAGGGAATATGCTACAGTGTTAGAGAGATCAGCATTACCTTAACTAATTTCATTTCAGCCATTTCACACAAGTTTTGTTTCCATATATCCCTCTTAAGTTTCTATTCTTAAGCAAGAGTATGTGAAGAGTAGTTAGGGTTGCCACCTTTCTTGGAAAAAATACAGGCCTTACTCATTTGCATAACTAATTATGTATGCGTGACATTATGTAACTCACAAGGAGTAGAGAAAATTCAGTGAAATCACCTGATATAGATGGATTGCTCCCAGTATCTCTCTGTCTCCCAGTGTCCCCATGTCACCCAGTGTCTTCTAGTGTCTTTGTCCCCATGTCTCCCAGTGTCCCAATGTTACTAGGGGACACTGTGAGACATGGGGACTCTGAGACTATGTATCACACTCTCCCTATGTCCCATGTCTCCCAGTGTCCCAATGTCTCTATGTACCCATTTCACCCAGTTTCCCCTAGTGTCTGTGTCCCCATGTCTCCCAGTTTCCCCATGTTACTAGTGGACACTGAGAGACATGGGGATACTGAGACACTTGGGGACAGTGAGACACTTGGGGACACTGGGA